AAATAACGAAAACCAGGTTTGTTCATATGAAAAAAATCTCTGAAATAAAAAAATGTTTTTTTGTTTTTTTCTCATTACAAGAGCAATACAGGTTCATTTTCTAGTAAATATTTTATTTTATTTTATTTTTTTAAAGATTTTATTTATTTATTTGACAGAGAGAGAGACAGCGAGAGAGGGAACACAAGCAAGGGGAGTGGAGAGGGAGAAGCAGGCTTCCCGCTGAGCAGAGCACCTGATGTGGGGCTCGATCCCAGCACTCTGGGATCGGGACCTGAGCTGAAGGCAGACGCTTAACGACTGAGCCACCCAGGAGCCCCCCTTCCAGTAAATATTTTAGTGTCTGCCATTTTCATGCTACCAAGTCAGGGCTCATGGGACTTAAATGGATTAATAAACAAAACGAATTACTGATTAGTACCACTACATCCTCCTCCTCCCCACACTCTCCACTTACTTTCCCAATTATTGCTTGTTTATGCCAGTGTCTCCCAGTCTGTACTTTCGTGGACACTAGTTCTAAAAGACATTAATACACATTCTAGAGAGATGGGGTTTCCTTGTTAAACAAGTTTAGGAATGGCTTCCCCTATTAAATATTACCATGTATATTTAGCAAAAGGTTCTGAGAGGTCCTTCAGTTAAGAAGTCTGCTTAAGCCATAGTTTCCTGTACTTAGCTCACACAAATAATTTTGGAGCAAATTTTAGGGGAAATATTAACTTGGGCTAATATTTAAATGATTATACATTCCCTGAGCATGCCAGAGAGAAATGTCCAGGAACCTGTCACTGAAGAAGGTTAATCTAGAGTGAAGACAGAACAGAAAACTAAAAGCTGGTAGTACCTGGGGTTTTAAAAGTGGAAGGACCTTAAAAGAATCTTAGAAACCAGAATATTTAAGATATATGATTGTAACTCTTTAGGGAATAACCTGGATTAAACAGATGTATTTTTTCTTTCTGATTTATAATTTTGTAATTATAAAAACTATATATGCTCAGCATAAAATATATGGAACATTCAGAAAAGTTTAAAAGGGAGGAAAAAAAACTATACTTCAATTACCTAAAGGCAGTCAATTTAGACATTTTGGCTCATTTCCTTGCAGTCTTTTTTCCTGTAAGAGTAATTTAGTCTAAAGAGAAAATTTTAATGTTTTAAACATCTATAAAAAATTAACAATCTACAGTTTTTCACTCCATTATATTTAAAAATGAAGCATGGTGCCGATGAAATAGCATGAAGGGCTAAATCATCAAACATGGGCTAAAATCCAGACTTTGTCACATACTAATTATATCACCTGATTTAAAAATCTCATTTAGCTTCAGTTTTCACATTGTAAAATCTGGATAATTCCAGCGGCCTGATGTTTTTGCTACCAGGATTAAGATGTATGAAAATAGCATACACTGAGATTAATGAAAATGCGTATTAGCTACCTTCTAGTAGTACCCAGAACTTTTCATGTAGAAATTAATTTCTAAAAATGAGACATGGAAAAGTGGCAAAATTAAAAAAAAAAAAGGAACAAGAGGAAACAAAGGCCACATATAAGGCTTGAAAATCTGAGGCTGAGGAGGCTTCAGCATTTCTGAAGTATCATAAAGCATCTTATATTCCTCCTGATATTAAACACTTTTTTTAAAAAGTTAAAAAATTTTAAATTCTTTAAAAATATTATGGATGTAAATAACCAAACCTTTAATTATTAAAAAATGTAGTTTCTTGCAAGCTAACTTAGTAAATACATAGATTTCAACAGAAAGAGTAGGCAAAGTTTTTTCTAACTTACTATAAATTATTCTTTCCATTGCTTTATAATTACATATTCTTATATTTAAGCTTGGGTGACAAGTTTTACTAGTACAAGTTTTAACAAACTAGTATTAAGGTGACTCTAGACTTAAATAAAATGTTTTTATGTCCTGATGTGTTTTACTAAATTCTAAGTTTTATGGCAACAGTTATGATATGGAGTGGCAGTATGGTAGACTATCTTGAATCAGAAGGTAAAAGATCTGTGTGCTCTAATTTTCGTTTTGACATTCGGTAGGAGTGTGACTTTGGACAAACTATAACCTCTCTGAGTCTTGGTTTCGTCATCAATAAAAGAGTGATTATATCTGTCTTGCTGTGTAAGGATCCACTATCCATGTAACAACAAAATCAAATACTGTGGCTGTCTTTAGCCACAACAACTGGATAGCTGGGAACAGAACTTTTACTGTATTGCCTTTTATACCTCAGGAAGTTTATACATATGCAAGTATTATTTACTCCAAAAATAAATTAAATAGGCTGGCAAGTTTCAGGACACCTTCAGAGATACACAAATCTTCAGATGTCTAAATTGCCTTTGATATTATTTTCTTCAATACTCTGTTCTCCTCAGTTATTTTTTATTTTTATTTTTTTTAGAGAGAGAGAGAGAACATACATGTGTGAGAGAGATGGGGTGGGGGGGTGCAGAGGGAAAGAGAGAATCTTAAGCAGGCTCCATGCCCAGCATGGAGCCCACTTGGGGCTCAATCTCATGACCCCCCTGAGATCATGACCTGAGACAAAATCAAGAGTTGAATGCTTAATCGACTGAGCCACCCAGATGTCCCTCGCCTCAGTTATTTTAACACTCTCTTCCAGCCTTACCTTTCACATAATTAGTGATTTTTACATCAACTACATATTTTATTGAAAAGGCATGTTTTAAACCCCTTCCATAAGGCAATACTGATATGCTTCTTAAATAAACTGAGTCTCTAAGAGTATATGATGTAGATAATAGTCATTGCCATCAACAGAATGGTAATATATTCATGTTTTCTTACCCTCTTGCCCTTGAGAACAATATTTGTGAGCGTAAGGGTCCTATAAATGGTTGCAACAGAGCAAAGCTAACTAATCTCCACAGCAGTTTAAACTGTGACCTTGGTGTCATTTTCGGTGAGTTCATTCAGCTACCCACTCCTATGAGATATGCACTGTTAATGATAAATAAATCCATTTGGAAAATTTTGACAGCCAGATCAGTGACAGCTACAATGGATTTTTTTTAAGGCTACATTATCCTAAATAACCACACAATTTTGCTAACATTTAAGTTACATGCATTTCATTACCACACTGTCTTGTACATGTTGTTTGAATGTCTGTTTCCATCAAGACCATGAACTCATTGACATAAAAATTTGTTGGCATTTGACTGAAAGAGAAATGCAATACTAGCAAAAGTAATACTTGAAAAATTTTACAGGATAATGATTTAAACAAAACAAACTCTATTTTAAATAAAAGCGCTAAGTACCCACCCAAAGTACTCTGTTAATAACACCAGACATTAGTAACAATTAATTTTATACATCCATGAGTATCTCCTATACACTAAAACCAACAATCGATGGAAGTAGGTATCTCCATTTTAGAAATAAGGAATCTGACATCAGAAAAAGTAAAGCATATTCAAGGCCATACAGTGAGTAACTGTCAGAGCGAAAATTAAAACCTGGGGCTGTTCAACTCTAAGGCCTAAGCTCTTTCCATACATCTGAAATTTGTAAAGGAAATTTTTCTTTTTTTTTTTTTTAAAGATTTTTATTTTTTTATTTATTCATCATTTGAGAGAGCGAGAATGAGAGAGAGAGAGAGCACATTGGAGGGGGGAGGGTCAGAGGGAGAAGCAGACTCCCCGCTGAGCAGGGAGCCCGATGCGAGACTCGATCCCAGGACTCCAGGATCATGACCTGAGCCGAAGGCAGTTGCTCAACCAACAGCCACCCAGGCACCCTAAAGGAAATTTTTCTTTAACCTATGGATCAAATGGCTTGATTGCTAGGGAGAGTGAAGGGAGAGAAATACAGACACCATTCATAGTTTTAAAGTCACAGGGTTTATAGATGTCATAGGGCATTTTATACTTATAACTCTTATTCCAATTTACAGATTCTTCTTATGCTGAGCTCTGAATAGCACTACCTTGAAATCTCATCAAGATATATTCAATGCAGAGACGAATATTAACAGAGTTCATCTTCAATCCCATAGTCTATCCAGTGATATTTACTTGTATAAAAAAATTACACATCAGTCTATCTAAAAATTAACGAATGATCTCCAAATAAAGTCACTCAGAAAGAGTCATCTCAGGTATCTTTTGTTGTTATGGGAAATCCACAATAGTTTGGCTATTTTTCCACAAATCCCAAGTTCATTTTCAGCCAATCACTCTTCCTCTTCATTAATATACCAAACTTAAGTATCTAGGAAGCCTATTTGGAACCCTAGTACTCAAAACAACCTTCACAGAACGCCAAGACAGTAAGAACAATAGCACCGTTTGTGTAACTGTGCAACTTTTCACAATGGAACTAGACTGAAAAACAATGGGGAAATGTCTACACCAGAAAAACGTCTCACTTATGTCTGATACAGACTAGAAGTGGGTACAACAAAAATACGTAACTGTGAAGGTATTCATCAGACCGTTCTGCCAACATGGGAGAACACGGGGACACAATCAAAGCATAAACTTAATGGCCAAGACCTTCGCTCAGATTGTAAGAAGCGAACTATTCAACAATATACTTTAGTTCTGGCTCTTCTTTTAGCTCTAAATATGCAGTTCAGTGAATTTTAGGTGGGGTCTGAACGGGGAAATCCAAGTTACTTTCTTCTTAAGGAATATATGTAGAGTCCCCCCCAAATAAGCATTAATGTACAGGCCATACCACTAGGAACTGAGAACTGAGATTAAAGTCTTCTCTCCTTCATCTCTATAGAAACGACAAGGTGAGGGCACGAAGGATGCCAAGATTAAAGGTTTGGGAAGGGTCTCGCTCTCCTCGAGAGAAGATGCTCAAAGACTCATTCTCTAACCGGGCCCCAAGGAGGAACTGGTCACGGTCAGGCACTCGGATATGGTTGCATGTTAGGAGAGCCTGGAAAGTGATAGCAGACCCCAATCGGCAAGGCCGGGCAGCAACCACCCTTCCCCCACTCACCTCTCAGAGCGCAGCTTAACTGGGGCTGTCCGAGTAACTGCCGCCATCACCATCGCCATCACTCTGAGTGCTCGCTAAGGTGGAGAAGGGAGGCCCAGCCACTCCTGCACCTCGTGTAGATCCTAAAAGGCGGACGCCTTTCTGCAAGCCCCCACCCGTCGGCGTTGAGTTCCTGTCTCACACGTTGCGGTCACCGCCTCCACCTGCTCCCAAGGCGCTGCCATCACTTCCGTGTTCGGCACCCTCCCTTTCTTCCTCACTCTCCCAGCAACCGGCTTTTTCCCTGGCAGTCGGCGCGCAGCTGACGCCACCACCCGGCGACTTCGGTCCGGCCGGGCGCTGGGCGTGGGCGAGCGGGCGCAGGCGCAGTGTAGCGAGCACGCCTGAGCGCGGGAAGCGGACCTGCGCCGACGCTTGCTACGCGCCTTTCCTCGGTGGCGGAGGTCGGTCCCGTTGGTGAGTACTCCTTCACGCTGCCGGTGGCCGTGTCGCGCACCGAAGAGAAGCGTGCCCTTTTCCCGGGTATTGTCTGACAGACCCTCTACTATATCTTGTTTGTGCCACTCGGGTGGGGGAAAGGGGCCGCCGGGAGACTAACTTCCCTTCTCCATCAGCCACCGTCTTTCCTCACCTTTTGAAATAATAGTAGCTTTTATAAAACATTTTTAGGTAGGTAGAAGAAAAGATGCCTGCCATACAGAAGCCGATGAGATTTGGACATACAGAGGGACATACAGACGTCTGCTTTGATGATTTGGGGAGGTAAGGTGCTTTGAAAAACAAAAAGAACGTTTCGGGTGTATTAGAACTTTTGTTGTTATATGTCAGAAAAGTAGTCAGTCTAACATGACTCACCCAGATAGAGAGAAATAAGGCTGAAATCTAAAATGGCACATATATTTTCCTTAGATTTATTGTTCGATTCGGACCAACATTGTAGTTTTCGTATCTCGAAAAAGTTAGCAAGTGTAAAATCTTACTTCCAGAGGAGTTGGAAAAACGTGACCTTTCCCTCATATCTTCCTTTTGTTGACTTCCTCTCTGTGTCCCACATTATTATTTTGTCAGATCACTAGCTGCCTACCTGTCAAATTCAGTGGCCCATTCTATCTTTTTTGGTGTTGTATCTTTCTTTCCTTGGCTTTTGTGATGCTGTTTTGTTTTTTCATTGTTGTTTTTAACCTTTTGATTTTTAAAAAATTTATTTTTTAAATTAACGTATAATGTATTATTAGCTTCAGAGGTCGAGGTCAGTGATTCATCAATCTTATATAATACCCAGTGCTCATGTGCCCTCCTTAATGTCCATCGCTCAGTTACCCCATCCCCCCTTTTGACAGCTTTTTTCTCCAACTTAGTTCCTCTCCTTGATTGCTAAATTGTGATATTTTCCCAGAACCCTGGTCTCTTTTATCTTTTTAAGTCCCATTCCTCTGCAGTACTATCCAGTTGTGTGGCTTCCACTGTCACTCCTGTGTTGATTCAATCATTGAAAAAATATTTGCCTGTCAAGTCTGGTGGAGGCTAGAGATACAGTATGTACAAAGCACAATCTATTCCTTAATTGACCTTAAAGTCTTTTTAAATTGACAGATATTGAGCACAAAATAATCACAAAAGTAAATGTATGTTTAGAAATAGTAAGTGATAGGTGCAGTGATAAGCATATTTGAAGGGAAGTTGATATAGCTTGAGGAGGCAGGGAAGGTTTCTCTAAGGCATTGTTTCTTGAGGTGAGATCTGAACATTGAGGAGACATTAGGGAGTAAAAAGAGATGGGGTGGTGATGGCAGTGAGGTTGTGGTGGTGATATCCAGACAGAGGGAACACTGCAAATTCCAGTGGGGGTAGGGACCATGCTCAAAGGACTGAAAGAAAGCTAGTGATGCCAAAATGTAGAGTGTGATACAGATGCTGATGAGAGATGAATCTGTGAAGGTGGGCATCCTATCCAGGACCTTCTGGGCTTTATTAAGGAATCTTGTTTTTATTCTAAAAGCAGTAGGAATGTATTAAAAATTAGAAGCAGAGAGATGGGATCAGATTCTTGTTTTTGAGAAGTACATGGAGGATGAATTGGAGAAGTAGAAGTGGATGCAGAAAGACTGGGTATCTGTATTAATCTGGTGGAGTGTGATAGAAGCTTGGACTAGAGAAGATGTGTATGGAAAAAAGGATACATTCAGGAAATACTTAAAAGGTAGAATCAGTAGGATGGACCAGACATTAAAGACGAAGGAGAGGGAGGTATCTGTATTTCTGGATGTTACATTTGGGGAAATGATGGTGCCATTCACAGATACCTGAAATGCTTGGAGAGGAGCTTATTTCAGAGGTAGAATGAGGGTGGAGATTATGAGTTTACATTTGGGCATTTGGAATATTTCTTTGAGATCAACTAGAGATGTAGACAGTTGAATAAATGGGTTGAAAGCTAAGAGAAGAAATGTAAGCTAAAGACAGAAATCTATATCTTTTTAAAAAAATATTTTATTTATTTATTTGAGAGAGAGTGTGTGAGAGAGAGAGAGAGCACAAGCAGGCGGAGTGGCAGGCACAGGGAGAGGGAGAAGCAGACTCCCCACTGAGCAGGGAGCCTGATGTGGGGCTCGATCCCAGGACCCTGGGATCATGACTTGAGCCGAAGGCAGATGCTTAACCGACTGAGCCACCCCGGCACCCTAGAAAACTATATCTTTTGCTGATGCCTACTGCAGGTCAGGATTGAGGTCCTGGCTGGAAATCTAAATGTGGAAGTTGTCAATAAGTAGATATTTAATGCTATGAACTTAGATGAAATCACCTAGGGAAGGAGTAAATGTAAAAAAAAAAGGTTCAAGGGCTAAGCCCTGGGACACTCCAAAATATTTAGAGACCAAGTTAGGAAGATCCAGCTAAGGAGACTAAGAAAAGGTGACTAGAAAAGTAGAAAATCAAGAGACAAGAATGATGTCTAGAAGGCAAATGAAATATAAGCATTTTAAGGAGAAGGAAATAATAAACTATGTCAAATGCTGGTGGGTCAAGTTGAGGACTGAGAATCCACCATTAGATTTAGTGATGTGGAGGCACTGGATGATCTTGAGCTTTTTTTATGGAGTGGTAAGAATGAAAACCTTGTCGCAGTGGATTCAAGAGAATGGAAGGAAGGAATTGGAGTTAGTGAGGATGACACGCTAAGAGTAGGGGTAGTTGGATAGGAATGTGAAGTCAGGGAAGGTCTTTGTTTTAAGGTGAGAGATAACAGTATATGTGTGAGTGGGGATGATCCAACAGAGAGGGATAAGTTGATGTTAGAATAGAAAGAGGGAGAATTGCTGGACTGATGGCCTTCAGTAGGTGAGAGGGGCAACAGTATAGTGCACAAGGGGGAGACAGTGGCCAAAGATAGGAGCATGGTCAAATTCACAAGTGGAGGGAAGGAGCATGTAGGTGGGATAGGGAGAACGTAGATGATTAGAAGAGAGGGGAAGCTGAAAGGCCTAGGGAAATATTAGTTGGAATATTGGGCAGCACTAAAGGCCTACTTTAGGTTTGTGATCATGAATTTAAAGTGAGACCAGACAACCCAGTTAGGTGTTTTTCTCTAGCCATGTTTAGCTCTGCAAGTGCAAACTTACTTTTTTTTTTAAGATTTTATTTATTTATTTGAGAGAGAGACCGGGAGACAGCACAAGCAGGGTAAGGGCAGAGGGAGAGGTAGGAGCAGGCTCCCCGCTGAGCTGGGAGCCTGACAGTGGGGCTTGATTCCAGGACCCCAGGATCATGACTTGAGCCAAGGGCACACGCTTAACCAACTGAGCCACCCAGGTGTCCCAAGTGCAAACTTATTAATAGGCATAGAGTTGGATTTAACCAGGGTTGGGATTTTGCTAGGTAAGTATGACACAGTGAAAGAGGACCAGAGAGTTTGAGGATGAGGCAAAGGAGTGATTTTAAGGACAGATTGGAATCTAAGCCAGATTAGGAGGGATGTGAGAATTTGAAGGGAGTGAGAGATAGTGAGGAAGTAGTTTCAATAGACTGTAGATCCTAATAGAAATAAAAAAATTGTTGAAGTTAGGATACTAAGGGTCTAAGGTGAAAAGATAAGTGATTAGGATAATTGAAATTGAAATTATGAAGCAGTTGCAGTATTGATAAAGAAAAAAATCTATGCTATGACCATGAGAGTTTGGGGATGAGGTGGAGGACAAGGTTTGGTATATAGTTTTGTCTACATGGATACTGAAAATACTAAGAATTATGATAGGAATAGTGTTAGAGAATGACAATGAGCCTTGTGCTAAAAATCCTTAGGGAACATGGGAAATTTCTCTTTAGGGTTTTGATAGTTTTTTTGTCCTTTTTTTTTTTTTTTTACGAGTAGTTTGTAGCAATAGAATGGAAGTGGTAATAAAATACAAGGAGGGCCCATCAACAGGCCCCACAGGAATGTAGAAGAGAAATCAGCCACCTTTTAAGAGGGCTGAAGAGGAAGCAGTGTTCTCAGAAGAAATGTTGGGGAAAAAAGCTGAGGATGTAGAGATTTTTCTGGTGCCTGACCATGAATTTCAGGAGGCCCAGTGGAAGGGTCAGGTCATATGAGGGAAAGAACATTGCTCTGTGAGGCTGGAGAATCCAGATGGTGAGAAATGCCTTGATAATCATTGGCTTCTTGTAGTTATGTCACAAAGAGGATCAAGGCATGGTAGAATTAGTCCTTATAGTGGTTTTCTTACTCAAACTTACAGTGGTTTTCTTATCATCTAAACCAGGGCACCTTTGGGGATGAGGAGAAGGATTTCAAGAGTTAAAATTACAGTTTTTAAAATCATTGATTGATTGATAAATTATTCTGTTTTGGTAGATCTATAACATTTCTTTTCAAAAACTGTTTCAAAACATTTTTTTGTAAAAACATTTGTGAGATTAAAACATTAAAAAAATTTTACATTGATTTTCTAAACATTAAACATATAATCCAAACATTTACATAAATAGAATATTTTTGGTACATATTCATGTACTTTAATCAGTTTTTTAGCCTGTCTTTAACATGATGTTGCTGATATTTTTCTCAAAAAATATATTTTTTTTCAATATAGTCTTCTTTTTATTTTTATTATAAAATTGACTGCAGTCTTCCTCAGAGTTACATTTATGGTAAGACCTTAAAGTGAGACCTTCAGTTAATTCTTTTTTTAGACCATAATATTTTTCTTTTTTTTAAAGATTATTTATTTATTTGTCAGAGAGAGAGGGAGAGCACACACACAAGCAGGCAAGCAGGGGGAGCAGCAGACAGAGGGAGAAGCAGGCTCCCTGCTAAGCAAGGAGCTCAATGGGGACTCCATCCCGGGACCCTCAAGCAGATGCTTGATTGACTGAGCTACCCAGGTGTCCCTAGACCATAATATTTTTCAATCAGAAAATACTTTCTTTAGGTTCTCACATACCTGGTAAGCTCAGAGCAAATTCTACTAAGTGGAAAAATTTCAATTTTTATTTATTTTTATTTTTAATTTAATTTAATTTTTTAAAGAGTTTATTCATTGGAGAGAGAGAGAGACAGAAAGAGCACAAGCAGTAGGAGAGGAAAAAGCAGACTCCCCACTGAGCTGGGAGCCTCACATGGGGCTCGATCCCAGGACCTGGAGATCATGTCCCAAGCCGAAGGCAGACCTTCAACCATCTGAGCCACCCAGGCGCCCTGAAAGAGTCTTAATTTTTAAAAATTTATTTTAAATAGGTAAATCTTTCACCTTCAGTATTTTTACAGGTTCTGGTTTTTTTTTTTTCCACCTGTATCCAGAGTACCCTTTTTCAATAGTAAGCTCTTCAATATTTTTAAAATTTATTTTATTTTATTTTTTTAGTTCTTTAATTTTTTTTTTTTTTTAAAGATTTTATTTATTTGACAGAGAGAGAGACAGTGAGAGAGGGAACACAAGCAGGGGGAGTGGGAGAGGGAGAAGCAGGCTTTCCCGCTGAGCAGGGAGCCCGATGCGGGGCTTGATCCCAGGACCCAGGGATCATGACCTGAGCCGAAGGCAGACGCTTAACGACTGAGCCACCCAGGCGCCCCTAGTTCTTTAATATTTTTAAAGACAAAATTCATCAAGGAAGTTGTCTGTGGTTTCTTTGAATGTTTCACAAATTTTAAGCCTACTCAATGTAATATTCTGGCATAGAACATAAATTTATACAATTAAAAAAGGACTTCCCTCAGAAGATTCTTCTCACAGGTCATGATATTCCAGAGTACAATTAGCAAATTTCAAAATTATGTCATTTACTTTTTCAGCTTTTAATGTACAATTTGTTCAATTCTTTTTTTTTTTTTTTTAAGATTTTATTTATTTATTTGACAGAGACACAGAGAGAGAGGGAACACAAGCAGGGGGAGTGGGAGAGGGAGAAGCAGGCTTCCCGCCAAGCAGGGAGCCCGATGCGGGGCTCCATCCCAGGACCCTGGGATCATGACCTGAGCCGAAGGCAGACGCTTAACAACTGAGCCACCCAGGCGCTTCTGTTCAATTCTTATTTGCTTTTGTAGGGATATATTTTAGTATGTTCCTGTGCATAAGCTTTGTTTTCATTAACTGCGTTTTACTAAAAGCTTCAAAGCCTTAAGTTGAAGGCTTAAATTAAAGATTGTTAACTGATTTTGAGCAAGATGCAACTAAGACTTAGGGAACTTGTTTCCAGTAATAATAATACCATCATTATAGGACACCTAGGTTTTTGTTTGTTTGTTTGTTTTTTAAGATTTTATTTATTTATTTGAGAGAGAGAGAATGAGAGAGAGCACATGAGAGGGGGGAGGGTCAGAGGGAGAAGCAGACTCCCTGCCAAGCAGGGAGCCCGATGCGGGACTCGATCCAGGGACTCCAGGATCATGACCTGAGCCGAAGGCAGTTGCTTTAACCAACTGAGCCACCCAGGCGCCCAGGACACCTAGGTTTTATAAAGTCACTCTTCATGGGGTAACTTGGTGATGGGCATTAAGGAGGTACTTGATGTGATGAGCACTGGATGTTATATGCAACTGATGAATCATTGAACACTACATCTAAAACTAATGATGTACTCTATGTTGGCTAATTGAATTTAGATTAAAAAAAATTCACTTTTCAAAGGCTCAAATATTTAGAAAATCTGATTGATGATAGGCAGAAGAGAAAGCATCTTATGCAATGCTGAAGTATTTTTATGTATTTAATATCAGTTTGTTAAAAGAATTTTGTTATCCTGGGTATTAATAAAATGATCTCAAAATTTGACAACTATGGCTTCTGTTTTGATTGGTACATTATCACAGTGCATTTGGTTATGAATTATACTTTGAATTTGAAGTACATAGGTGTTTCATAGATATCTAAATTCAGTAAGTACATTGTTTTTGCTACAGTGCTATGCTCAACCAAAATGTTGTATTACTGTAAAAATTAAGAATTTTATCTTTACCATTGAACTTTTCAAATGAAGTTAGATAGAATTCCCAATAATAGATGTTTCGCTTCCACAGAATAAACTTCGAGAAGCTTTACTTTGTTTCCATGAGCTGAAGAGAAGAAGACTAAACCATTATTGGAATCAATCTGACTGATTTTCTATTTAAACCTTCTGATGACATTGAGATAAAACCAGTATCACTTAATTGATGGAAAAATTATTTTACTAATGGAGACAACGTATTAACAGCTATAACTTTACTTCATACTTAAATTAGAAAACTTGAAAAATGAACAAAATTAATTTAGATCCACTGTCATCTGTTTTAATGCTGAATGTTCAGTACAATAGCCACAGCCACAGGTGGCTATTTAGATTTTAATTAAAGTTAACTAAATTTAAAATTCAGTTCCTCAGTTGCATGAGTCACATTTTAAACCACATTTTAATTGCTCAGGAGCCTGATATAGACCATTTCCATTCTCTAAGAAAGTTCTGTTGGACAGTATTGCATTATGAAAAGTCATGCCCAACAAGATGCAGACTCACTTTCTGCAGCTGTAGAAGCATGGTTTTCAGGGAGTCACAAGATAATCACTAACTTACAAAGTAGATGCTCAGGTTTCTTCAGGAATTTTGTCTCTTCTGACTTTCTGTGGTTGGTGTCATCACTCCAGCCCCCATGATAAACGTCAACTAACATTCTGTTCATGTTACATTTCCATTATCAACTTCTTGAGAAGCAGAAATGTAGTATTTAATTTTTTGTTTAACATGTACTTGATAGCTTTTTTTTAGTTGCTACTGAAAGGTATTTTATTAAAAGGCATAATCAATAAAATTAACATTTAGTTTTATTCCTATGGTAAATGACAAAAACACTGTCAAGATAGTCAGACTACTCTAAAAGCTCAACTTAACTATTTAACTTAACTATTTCTTGCATGTATTTCTCACTAATTCCACTGTATTTCACTCTAATTTTCCATTAGTACTACCAACTGGCAGCTGCAACTTTCTACATCTCCCTCACTGGCTGGCTGATGGCACCAAATAGTCAGTAGGGACAGCAGTATTCAGTAGGGACAGCGATATGAGGTACTTACCCCATCACCACTGAAGACTGAAAGAAATCGCTGTAGGGCCTCTTGACTGACTTCACTTTGGTTTTTGTCTGTTAGCACCTGTTGTCTGTGAAAGGAGGTATTAGTAGTGTTGCATCAAGAAAGGATTGGAATGGGGAGATGGGTAATCATTTGTCTTTCAGATTTACCTATGTGATAAAGTGAGAATTCTATTCATTGTACATGTTTCACTACTAAACAAGATCATGGCAGAAGCTGGAAGTGCAAAGAAGAGGTCTGTCAAACTCACCCAACCAGTTTTGATGCAAATAATACTAATATATTTTTTTAGAAGATACTACATTTTATTTATTTTTTAAAATTTATGTATTTTTTTAGTAACCTCTACACCCAACATGGGGCTTGAACTCACAACTCGAGATTAAGAGTCATATGCTTTTCCGACTGAGCCAGCCAGGTGCCCCAATACTAATATGTCTTAAAATAAAAAAATTGAGGACAGGGGCGCCTAGGTGGCACAGTCGTTAAGCGTCTGCCTTCGGCTCAGGTCATGATCCGAGGGTCCTGGGATCGAGTCCCACATCGGGTTCCCTGCTCCTCGGGAAGCCTGCTTCTCCCTCTCCCCCTGCTTGTGTTCCCTCTCTCGCTCTGTCCCTCTCTGTCAAATAAATAAATAAAATCTTTAAAAAAAAATTGAGGACAGATTCTAAACCAACTGGATGTATAAATCAGGAATGTCCTAGTCTGGGGCACCTGGGTGGCTCATTCAGTTAAGTGTCTGCCTTCGGTTCAGGTCATGATCCCAGGATCCTGGGATCAAGCCCGCTTCTGGCTTCTTGCTCAGCAGAGAGTCTGCTTTTCCCTCTGCCTCTCCCCCTGGCTTGTGCTTTCTCTCTTGCTCTCTCTCAAATAAATAAAATCTTTAAAAAAACAAAAATATCCTAGGCAAAAAGACTAATGGTCCTTCTGTTTATTTCCTATAGAAGGGAGTCCAAGCTCCTTACTCTTGGATTAAGGTCCTTGTAAATAGGGTGACCCCCAATCTGCATTTTCTTTCTCAATTTCCTGTACTGTCTGCTCTAAGTGAACTCCCTCATATTTTACTAACTTGGTATTTTGGTTTATGTGGTTTCCTCTGTTTGGAACTGCTCTTTTCACCAATCTCAGCATATCCAGTTCTACTTGCCCTGCTTGCCCTTTGACTTCCCAGTGTAGATACCACCTTTCTTATGAACCTCTACAGTTCTTTATGTAGCTTCTCTTTGCCATTTGCCATGGTATTTTTGTATTTTGTTTGCTTTTGTATGTGTCAGGACACATACAGATAGGACACATACCAAATGAATATAAGCACCAGGAAGGCAAGGGGTTTAAAACAAGATTTGAGAGATACAGATGGCCATTTGAATAATCAGCTTTGGATAATTGAGCTCTTATATCCATCCACTTATTCATTCAACAAACATTTATCAAGACTTCTATATGTCAGAGATGGCTTTGTGCTAGAGGCACAACGGTGAGCAAGGTAGACTTTGTCCCTGTTGTTAACAAAAATTACCCATTCATCTTTCTTACATTATTACAGATAAAGAATTTTATGCCACGGAGAAACTGGAGAGAACATTAAATTCACCTTTCATTTTATAGGATAGGAGATTAGCAGGCTTTGTTATTGAGGTTTATGTATGTAAAATGAGAAAACATTGACTAACACTTTGATTTTATTGGAAAAAAGATAAAGTATTCCAAAAAAAATTAATAGGCCTGAAACTGGGTGACTTTTTTTTTTTCTTTTCTGAAACTTGAACGACATCTTAATGAGTGTGTTTCCTTCACAGTTATATTGTGACTTGTGGAAGTGATGGTGATGTGAGGATTTGGGAAGACTTGGATGATGATGACCCTAAGTCCATTAACGTTGGAGAAAAGGCATATTCATGTGCTTTGAAGGTATTAAAAACATTTATAGCAACTGATGAGAAATGATACTGCTGTGTGATTTTTTATGTATGGGTGAAGAATATTTTTGTTGAAGTTTTGAATGTAGATATACTTTTTGTTTGTTTCTCTTATGAAATAATAACATTCAAATATGTATAATAATGCCATAAATTGCCTGAAATTTTTACAAGTAAAATCTGAATCTGAATGGGTTTAAAATCTGGATGGTTTATTAAAGGTGATTAATGGTTTATTAGTGGTAAACTAATTAAGATATTTGCAAGAAACTATACTTTTTCTTTTGAGATTTAGATGTTCCCTTTTTTTCCCTTTGAGAGAAAACTCCATGGCATTTTCAGGTTTTTAGTTCACTAATTTAGACAACTAATTACACTAGAAAAGAGGAATATTTTAACTTTTTCAAGACATATACATGTTTCATGTTTCTAATGTTTTATGTAAGGTAAATATGCGAGTGATATCTGTAGGTTATTTGGAGAATGGAGACATGTTTTCAGAAGGCCTTTGCAAACTAAGTATGTAAAAACCACTAAGCTTTTTATTTGTGATGAATTTTGAGTATTGTATTTGGGTAGAAAAAATATTTTCACAGAATTCATGTTTTTTTTTCAAACTCAGGCTCATTAGGGTAGATGAATGAGATGGTCTTTAGATACTTTCGATATTCTTTTTTAAATGTTATGTATAGGGGCACTTGGGTGGCGCAGTCAGTTAAGCTTCTGACTCTTGGTTTCGGCTCTGGTCGTGGTCTCAGGGTTGTGAGATTGAGCCCTGTATCAGGCTCTGTGCTCATCGTGGAGTCTGCTTGAGTTTCTCTCTCCCTCTCCCCCTCCTGCTCATTCTCGCATGCGTGTACGTGCTCTCTCTCAAATAAATAAATAAATCTTAAAAAAAATAAAATGGTCATATATAATGGAAAATATATTCCCAGATGGAAAAATATAGATGACCAACATATATTAGATACAAGTTAAATTTCACTAATAAGCAAAGAAGTACAAATTAAACAATTGGATTTTTTTTTTCTATCAGATTGGCAAGGATGAAAAATATTGCTAATTCCGTAATAGTGAGGATTTGGAGAAGTAAGTATTTGTTAAGGAAAAACACTCTCCCATCTTTTTCCTTTACTCTCACACTACTACCTTCCTCGTAACACTTCCAACACCAGATGTGTGGGTTTTTTTCCCCTACATCAAAGCAATTCTCTGCAATACTGGCTGGAGTATACTGGAGCCAATACTGGCTCACAGGAGTGAGCATAGACCTTATAGGTCAGGGGCTCAGTCCCACGAGACTGCCCCCACTTTAGATAACAGTTGTAAGTAGTAGGTCCCCAGGTTACCCACAGCATCTGTCCTACTTGGCTATAAGTCAGAGGTTCCCACGACCCCCTACTTGGAGTCAATCTTTTGCTACAACAGCTCACAGAATTCAGGGAAACACTCCTACCAGTTCATTATATAGTGAAATATAGATAAAGGATACTGGTGAACAGCCAGATGAAGAGATACATAGGATAAGGTCTGAAAGGCTCTTTTTTTCCCATGGAGTTGGGGTCCGCCACCCTCCTGTTATGGGGATGTGTTCACCAAGCCGGAAGCTCCTTGAACCCCATACCATTGGGATTTTTATGGAGGCTTCATTACATTGGCATAATTTGATTATGCCATTATTAACTCCATTTCCAGCCCTTCTCCCTTTCCCAGATGATGATGGGATAAGGCTGAAAGTTCCAAGCTTCTAATCATGGTTTGATTTTTCTGATGAGCAGCCCTCATCCTGAAGCTATCCAGGAGTCCACCAAGAATTGCCTCCTTAGGAATGTCTTTTCTATCAAATTTCAAGGGATTTAAGAGCTTTATGTCAGGAACTGGGATCAAAGACCAAATATTAGAGCAAAAGCTGCTCCTAGTAGTCTTGTCACTTAGGAAATTACAAGGGTTTTAGAAACTCTGTGCCAGGAATGGGAGACAGAGACCAATATTTTCTGTTATTTTATAGTATTGCACAACAGTTGTTGGAAGTGTAACTGGGGAGTTTTTGTTTTTTTTGTTTTTTGCGGGGAGAAGGGCAGAGGGAGGAGAGAGAGAATCTTAAGCAGGCTCCACACAGGGCTCCATCTCATGAGCCTGAGATCATGACCTGAGCTGAAATCAAGTCAGATGCTTAACCAACTGAGCCACCCAGGTGCCCCTAGGGAGCTTTTTAAGAAGTAAATTCAGGGGTGTCTGAGTGGTTCAGTGGTTGAGCGACCTACTCTCGATTTCAGCTCGGTTCATGATCTCAGGGTGGTGAGATAGAGCCCCATGTTAGGCTCCGTGCTCTGTGCAGAGTCTTCTTGTCCATCTCCCTCTGCTCTTCACACCTTCCCCTTTTCTCACTTTCACTCAAATAAAAAGAAAAAAGGGAGTAAATTCATGCTTTATATCAAACTTCGAATGCACACGGTCATTTCTGGCTATTTACCCTGAGGGAATTCTTATACACTTTCATATTTGTGTGGTCAAGGATATTAGTAAAACTATTGTTTATAATAGCAAAAGTTAGAACTAATTGAAGTATCCTTCAGGAGAGAATTTGTTTTGTAAAATTTTTTTTTAAGATTTTATTTATTTATTTGAGAGATGGCAAGAGAAAACATGAGGGGGGCAGTGTGAAGAGGGAGAAGCAGGCTCCCTGCTGAGCAGAGAGCCTGACCCGGACTGGGGCTGGATCCCAGGACCCTGGGATCATGATCTGAGCTGAAGGCAGATGCTTAACCAACTGAACCACCCAGACGTCCCTGTTTTATAAATTTTGGGAGACTTATGTAATGTATTACTACGTAGCCACACACACACAGAAAAAGAGTGAGTGCTATATATCTTCGTCTGCAAAGATATTTACGGTGAGTTGAAAAATGAAGAGTTGCAGAGTAGTCTGTATTGTGTAGTCTTTTTTTTTTTTTTTTTTTTTTTTTAGATTTTATTTATTTATTTGAGAGAGAGAATGAGAGACAGAGAGCACGAGAGGGAAGAGGGTCAGAGGGAGAAGCAGACCCCCCGCTGAGCAGGGAGCCCGATGCGGGACTCGATCCCAGGACTCCAGGATCATGACCTGAGCTGAAGGCAGTCGCTTAACCAACTGAGCCACCCAGGCGCCCCTGTATTGTGTAGTCTTATGTTTGTTAAAATAAAGGATATATGTACATAAATGTATTTAAGAAAGTTAGAAAGACTTAACCCCAAAATGTTAATGGAGATTACTTCATAAGAGTAGGGAAACTCACTCTGCCCAGAATAATTTCATGTTGTTATTTTTCTTCCACAGTATGTATGCACTGCATTTGTGTATGAAAAGACTGTAAGGAAGAAAAAAAAAGTGGTCTTGTAGTAGTTTCCTAGGGCAGCTGTAATAAATTTTCACAAACTTGGTGGCATAAAACAACAGAAAATTATTGTCTCATAGTTCAGAAGGCAAAATGCCTGAAATCAGGGTGTGGGCAGGATTAGCTCCTTTTGAGCCCTGTCTGTTCCATGCCTCTCTTCTAGCTTCTGGTGGTTGCCAGTTATCCTCAGTGTTCCTTTATTGGAAGATACATCACTCCAGTCTCTGCCTCCGTCTTCACATTGCCCTCTTCTCTGTGTCTTTGTGTCTCACATCTTCTCTCCATTTTCTTACAAGGCCATCAGTCATTAGATTTAAATCCTTTTTTTTTTTTAAGATTTTATTTATTTATTTGACAGAGACAGCAAGAGAGAGATCACAAGCAGGGGGAGTGGGAGAGGGAGAAGCAGGCTTTCTGCTGAGCAGGGAGCCCAACACCGGGCTCGATTCCAGGACCCAGGGATCATGACCCAAGCCAAAGGCAGACGCTCAACGACTGAGCTACCCAGGCGCCCCTAGATTTAGATCCTTAACTTACTACATGTGCAAAGACCCAATTTCTAAATAAGACCACATTCACGGGTACCTGGGCTTAGGACTTAGGCATGTCTTTTGGGGGCCATTATTCAATGAACTACAAGTCTGATAGTCTGTGCTAAAATGTTTTCTTTGGCTTTAGGAATAGAGTTTATGGTACTTCATTGAAATGACATTACCACACAGCCATGTGAAGCTGACAATTTTACAACAGATTTCATTAAAAATATAATTGCTTATAAATATACTTTCTGTTTTTGGAGTCAGTGGTACAGGGAAGTACAGTTAGGTGTTTTGTTTGAGAACAAAGTGGAGAAAATATCACTCTCCAAAATAGTGAAAATGAGATGAATCAACTGGTAGTAATAGTTAATGCTTGCATAGTATTGTACATTGTCAAAGCCTTTTAACAAAGATATGGGGAAATATGTGAAATTACCTCCATTTTATTCTTGGGAAAGTCAAAGCTCTGAGGAAGGTCAAATGACACAGTTGGGAAGAGACACAGTGGGCTGGAGCTCAAGTCAGCCTGTGCTGGGATCCATTCTTCTCAATCCACTAGGGAGAAGAGTGATCTGACCTGATCCCTGATCCTTTGGGTGTTTTCTCTTTTTTAATTTTACTAGTTGATAAAGTACTGATAGTGATGTGGTTTCCCAGTAGATTTGTTGGAAATTGACTCCAAAGCAAGTCCTTTATTCAGGTCTCTTGGGTGAGTAAGTACAGATAAATACTTTAATATTTTCACATGAATAGAGGACCAGTTAATGTGTTATTAAAGAATTACCAAAATTCTTTACTAGATCTAACAGGAGGCTTAGTCAGATTCTACTGAGACATCTGTCTGCCAAGTAAAGCACAGCCAGGTTGCAAAATTCCTGTGCATGAACACAAATAGTTGGTGTTTCTGCAGTTTCTCTGCATCATCAGTGTTGTCTTGAGTTGGTTATAGTTTTTCTTGAATTCTCTTCTTGTTTTCATATTTAAGTTGTTGTTTAGCTTCAACATGATAGATTTAGTGTATTGTGGATTGTTTAATTACTTACAGTAGTTACAATGTAGGCATAAGCAGTATTTTTCACCAATTTTCCAGTAATTGAAGATAAGTATGTATTATAGTTCAAATCTGAATCATCTATACTGTTACTTGAACAGATGTATGTATCTTCCCTAATTTTTCTATATAGTAACATGTCACTGTATTACTAAGTTCTTTTTCCGTTGGAGTGGGAGCAGGTGCTGTAGATAAGCGGAGGGTCTTATATGTGCAAATAAGACTGAGACCTGTTGCTGTAGGATATTCATTAACAAACTTGAGTAATTTATTTCTTTGGCAGTTAGCATTTAATCTCAATAAATTGGCCATATGAATTATCAGAGCATGTATGGTTGGTAGACTATGATTTAGTCTGTCAGGACTTAGTTCCTCCTAGAGAAGTGATAAAATTAAGGTTCTAGGGCAGATACTTGACCTTTTATGATTCTTAGCCAAAATCTATGCAGAGCAGTGGTGTCTGCTGATCATTTTCAGATCCTAAAACTTGGTTTATTTAATGTTTTTATTATTTTCTAAGAAAGTTATTTATATTTTTAATTCCAGTATAATTAACGTACAGTGTTATATTAGTTCCAGTTGTACAATATAGTAATTCTCAACAGTTTTACAGTGCTCAGCATTATAAGTGTATTCTTTTTGGATCTTCCTACTTGCTGTCTTCCTATTTAGTGTTTTTAAAGAGAAGCCATGGATTCTGCATCTAGATTTTACCTATTCCAAAAAGGCATCTAATGATTTTATCATGGAAACACAGGGCAACACTATGGTGGTTGTTGATGTATGATGTGCTGTTCCCTCACTGAGACTAGCTGTTTTTTTTCTCTGAAAAACTCTCTTGAGTCTCTTTCATGACACTTGGGGATGCATAAAAATACTATTTAAATCATTTTCTTGTCAGAAGTAAATGAAAATCCAGAGGCCACAAATTTGGCTGGTGAAGGGAGAATTAAATTCCATAAAGGTTAGTAAGTAAATTTTTCTTGCTAATAGACACTTCAGGAAACTTGTACATTGAGTGATGATTTTTCTCTTGACATTAACTACATTTATAAGTTTTTATGTTTTTTTATAGGATTGTTAAGTGTGGAAAGACTCAATTGATTTGGACTTTTTTGCCAATGTTTCTTTTAGAATGGGAAATTGGTCACTGCAGTATCCAATAATACTATTCAAGTCCACACATTTCCTGAAGGAGTTCCAGATGGTATATTGACTCGGTTCACCACAAATGCAAACCATGTGGTCTTTAATGGGGATGGTGCAAAAATTGCTGCAGGATCTAGGTAAGGTCCTCTGGTACCAGAAAAGAAAGTAATATTAGAACAGAATGGCCTCATTCATTGGCTTCAGGGTTACATTTTCAGGACATTTCCATCCTGAAAGACATTTCTGTCCCTTTCAGGACATTTCTGTCCCTTCTGTGTGTGTGTGTGTGTGTGTGACGTAATTTTTTGCGGGGTGCGGAGGCTTCAGAGGGAGAGGGAGACCGAAAACTTTAAGTAGGCTCCATGCCCAGCGCAGAGCCTGATGTGGGGCTCTATCTCACAACCCCAAGGTCATGACCTGAGCTGAAATCAGGAGTCAGATGTTTAACCAACTGAGCCACCCAGGTGTCCCACTTAATTTTTATATTCAAGTCTTTAGTAAAGGTTTTTGAGGGCAACCTTGTGCTTCTTTGTGAATTGAGATATCTTGCTTTGCAGACAGTAAATGCTGAAAAAGATTGGGGAAACATGATAGTTTGATACGAAATTTTAAAAATAATTTCGGGTAGAACCTGGACTGTCAGTATTTTTGTTGTTTCTCTTGATGCTTATTTGTCATAGGAAAAAAAAGGAACTAATGAATTGCTGAGGTTAAGTAAAAGGCATAGTACTTTTCTTTTTTTTAAGGATTTATTTATTTTAGATTGTGCATGAGCAGGGGGAGGGAGAGAGAAAATCTCAAGCAGACCTGCTGAGTGTGGAGCCAACACAGGGCTGGATCCCAGGGACCCTGAGATCATGACCTGAGCCAATATCAAGAGCTGGCCTCTTAACCAACTGAGCTACCCAGGTGTCCCTGACATAGTACTTTTTTTTTTTTAAGATTTTATTTATTTATTTGACAGAGATTGACACAGCGAGAGAGGGAACACAAGCAGGGGGAGTGGGAGAGGAAGAAGCAGGCTTTCCTGCAGAGCAGGGAGCCCGACATGGGGCTCGATTCCAGAAGCCAGGGATCATGACCTGAGCCGAAGGCAGACGCTTAACGACTGAGCCACCCAGGTGCCCTTGACATAGTACTTTTAAAAGTGGTTGTGACTTAAAAATAAAAATGGTTGGGACTTTAATTAATAAGTAATAGAAGCTTAAGATATAACTAAGGAAACCAGTTAGGAAGTATTTGTAGTTTATTTATTTATTTATTTTTTTAAAGATTTTATTTACTTGTCAGAGAGAGAGAGAGCACAAGCAGAGGGAGAAGCAGGCAGAGGGAGAAGCAGGCTCCCTGCTGAGCAAGGAGCCTGATGTGGGACTTGATCCCAGGACCAGGGTATCAAGACCTGAGCCGAAGGCAGGTGCTCAACCGACTGAGCCACCCAAGCGTCCCAAAGTGTTTGTATTTTAAAGGGAAATCCTGAGTTGTGTTTTTAGTATCTTCATGGGGCAAGATTAAAAAGTAGGTCCTTAAATTTGGATGCCAAATTCTACATGTTGCTATAAAGAAATTATGACATTTACTCTTGTGATTTTGAAATATTTGGGTCATAGATTTTAGGAGAGGCTTTTGTATGGGTATTTATTAATGTCCGTTATACATTACTCTTACTGTTCATAGTGATTTTCTAGTCAAAGTTGTGGATGTGATGGATTGCAGCCAACAGAAAACATTTCGAGGACATGATGCTCCTGTTTTAAGTCTTTCCTTTGATCCTAAGGACATCTTTCTGGTAATCATTTTTTCCTTTTGTTCTTTTTTTTTTTCCTTCAATATGTTTAAAATTGTAAGAGAATTAGCAGAAAATTTCACACAGTTGATGAAAAGGCTATTTGGTTTATCAGTTGAACCAGTTTCCATATGGTATTATGGCTGTAACTATAGAGAAATTTATTGTTTTATTCCTGCAGGCATCAGCTAGTTGTGATGGAACTGTCAAAGTGTGGCAAATTTCAGATCAGGTAAACTTATCAATTTGAATTTAAGACTTTATGCTCGTTTCTGTCATAAATGAGGTGTTACATAGCTTTGGACTAAATAATTCTTTTTCTTTATAGTTTGTTTCTTTTGAGTAGCATTGAATACTGTTTTTGTCATCAAATTCTGTAATAATCTAATGTGAAAGTGTGTTGAAGACTAACTGTACCCAATCACAAGGGAAATTGATTTATAGTTCAGTTTTAGGTTTTATAAATCAGTGGGGAAAAATCAGTCAGTATATATTTACTATACTATAAACTACCATGTGTTGGGATCTTGATGTTAGGGATACAAAAATAAAATAAGACATTGGCCATACTTTATTTGGAGAGTCACATAAATGACTTATTCTAACCAACCTGATAAGTTTTAAAGGAGGTATGAAGAAAGAGCTCTCTGGATTGACAGAGGGAACCATTAATTTTTCCTGAGGCATTCTAGAGATAATGTGGCTGCTGAGAAAAGTATCCCCCACAGAGTATGCCTCAATAGCCACAGTTTTTTCCCCTTATGTTTGAAATGTTTAAATGGGGTTGACTTTGATACCTTAACATTTTATAGGAGATTTCTTAACTTTATCTTTGTAGATGTTTTAAGATTTTAATGTATTGGTTTTTCTTTTAAATGTGTGTGTATATACGTTTATTCAGTGAGTATATTGTTCGCTTATTCTACATAGGAAATACGCTTATTTAGTTATTTAAGATTTGTGCTTTTTATACCTCTGAATTATTTAAAGTAATTTAGGTAAATCAGATATCATAGTTAGATGAAAGTGAATTAAGTGGCTTTTTTCATAGCAGTATGTCAGCTTGAAGAAAGCACCTATGAAATATATTCCATTTTGCATATCTCTTGGAGAAGTTTCATAAAGGGAAATAAATTTTCTTTTTTAAAATATCAGACATGTACTGTTAGTTGGCCACTGCTACAAAAATGCAATGATGTGATAAATGCAAAATCAATCTGCAGACTTGCTTGGCATCCAAAAAGTGGGAAGGTAAGTGACTCTTACTTTTCAGCCTTTGTTTTAGTCATTTCTTCTAGTTCTTGTCAACTTTGAATGTGAGAATTGTAGAATTTGTTTTTTTAAATTGTAACTGTTTCATTTAGGTTGTAAATTTTAGTGCCCCAAGCCAACCAATTAATATTGGTATGTTTTAAGAAACATTTTAACTTTGGGGGTGGCTGGGTGGCTCTGTTGGTTAAAGCATCCGACTCGTGGTGTGGGCTCAGGTCTCAATCTCTCAGGGTTGTGGGTTCAAGCCCCAGGTTGGGCTCCAGCCTACTTAAAAAACAAAAAACATTTTAACTTTGTAAAGGTTCTTTCCTTGTATGAATTAATTTTATATTCTTCTTTATTTTTGTATTTAATGGAACAACTCTGGAAACAGTCTTGTTATGTCTACTCTTACTAGTAGCGTTTAACATTTTGGAGGTAGTAGCTGATAGGCAGGAGATAGGAACTGTTTGAAAAGAAGAAGGAGAATACTTATTATTTACAAATGAAATGGTTGACTATAAGGAGATCTTAAGAAATCAACTGAGGGAAAAATATTATTAGTAAGAAAATCCAGTAAGGTAGTTGGAAACAAACTAATATACAAAACCAATAATAATCCTATATATAAATAATAACCATTTAGAAAATATATGGTGGAGAAAAAAATGATGCATTTACTGTGAAATCAAAAAAGATGAAATAACAAGGGTAAACTTACCAAAATGTGAAAGGGCTATATAAAGAAAACTTTAACATTCTATCAAGAGGAGTAAAAGAAGACTTAAATAGAAAAATATATTCCATTTTTAGAAAGGAATTTTCAATATAAAGATGTCAGTTCTTTCTGGGGTGCCTGGGTGGCTCAGATGGTTAAGCATCTGCTTTCGGCTCAGGTCATCATCCCAGGGTCCTGGGATCGAGCCCCACATCAGGCTCCTGGCTCAGTGGGGGGCCTGCTCCTTCTCCCTCTGCCTCTCTCCCTGCTCATGCTCTCTCTCTCTCTCTATCTCTGTGTCTCAAATGAATAAATAAAATCTTAAAAAAAAAAAAAAAAGATGTCAGTTCTTTCTTAAATTAACCTGTAGTTTTTGAGAACATTCTAATATAAGATATCAGTACGGTGTTTGAAGGGGACCATAGAGCCACCCAGGTACCCCAAGAGCTAATTTTCTTAATATTCAGAAAGTTCTTATAAGTCAGGGTGCCTGGATGGCTCAGTAGGTTAAGCATCTGACTTTGGCTCAGGTCATGATCTGGGGATCCTGGGATCAAGCCCTACATTGGGCTCTCCCCACTTATTGGGGAGTTGGTTTGTCCCTCTGCCCCTCCCCCCACTAGTGCTCTCTCACATACACACTGTCTCTCTCTCAAATAAATAGTTAAAAAAAAAGTTCTTAAAAATCAGTAAGATCTGGGGTGCCTGCCTGGCTCGTTTGGAGGAGTGTGTATGTAACTCTTGATCTCGGGGTTGTGAGTTTGAGCCCCACATTGGGTGTAGAGATGACTTAAAAGTAAAATCTTTTGGGGCACCTGGGTGGCTCAGTTGGTTAAATGTCTGCCTTCAGCTCAGGTCATGATCTCAGGGTCCTGGGATCGAGCCCCACATCAGGCTCCCTGCTCAGTGGGGAGTCTGCTTCTCCCTCTCCCTTGGCCTGTCTACCCCTGCTTGTTTTCTCTCTCTCTCTGAAATAAATAAATAAAATCTTTGAAAAAAAATAAAAATAAAATCTTTCAAAAAAAAAGTCAATAAGATCCTAATAGAAAGGTGGTCATGGACATGAACAGTGTACATAAAAAGATAATATAGGTGACTTTTAACGTATGAAAGTATATGGAACCTTTCATACCAAAAGAAATACAAATTGAAACTATTGTGATAGCCTGTTTTTCATTTATTGGATGTTCAAACATCAAAAGTTTGATTATATACTATGTGGAAGAGAGTGGCAGTTTTTATCAGAATGAACAACAGTACTAGTTCTAGGCATAAATCCTATAAGCATATTTATATATATGCATTACAGGGTATGTATAATGAAAATGTTGCATCACTGTTTATAGTAGCAAAAGAATAGGAACATACTAAATGTTTATTAATAGGAACTGGTTAAATAAATCCTGGTATTCCTGAAAGTAGGATATTCTGCAATTGTTAAAGTGAGGTAGATCTGTATGTCCTCATTGGGAATAGTCTTCTGATACATTGTGAAATAAAAAACATCAAGCTGTAGAGCAGTAGGTATAAATAGAATTCTATTGTTTATTGTGTATGTACTTGTGTATATATATATATATATATGTACCTATGAATTCTTTTTTTTTTTTTTAAAGATTTTATTTATTTGACAGAGAGCAAGCACAAGTAAGGGGGAGAAGCAGAGGGAGTGGGAGAAGCAGACTCCTGGCTGAGCAGGGAGCATGACAAGGGGCTCAATCCCAGGACCCCGGGATCATGACCTGAGCTGAAGGCAGATGCTTAACTGACTGAGCCACCCAGGCACCCCTGTACCTATGCATTCTTGTGCAGTCTATGCTTATGTGTACCTTTGGGAAGTAGAAATAGGATTTAGGGGTGGGAGGGAGACTTTCTTTTAATCTATGCCCTTTGTAGCATGTAAACTCTTAAGACTACTACATTCTGCATTAAAGTGATAGTTGAGGATTTAGTATGTATTTTTTCTTTGCTCATGAAATATTAATCTAATTTAAAAATCAATACAATTAACATAGTTTTTCTGTTCATAAATATTTTTCTCTTTTTTGTATAAACATGGAAATACTGTATTTTTTCTATTAGTCTCTTTCTTTGGAAGAATGTGTAAGAAGATCAGTTTCCTTTTCTTAAGATATTTAAAGCATTCTGGACCTATTTCTTTCCTTTTGGCAAATGAGATGAATGTTTAGATCCAAAGGACTTAGATTCCTGAGAAGTAGTATCAAAAATACGTAACTACAAGTGCTCTGGTTTTCAGTGCAAGCAATAGAGCGATCACTCATTCTTTGCTTATCAAAATTTTAAGTAATTTTCTGAGTTTTGTTAGTTGCCAATTAAAGTACAGTTTTGCTTTATGTTTCATAGTCTTATTTGGATGATTTTTTTTTTCTTTTTTTCCTCTCTAATTTAATGTAAACTTTTGTTTAAATCATTTATCTTTCCTAATAGTTACTGGCAGTTCCTGTGGAAAAGTCTGTTAAGCTATATAGAAGAGAAACATGGAATAATCAACATGATCTTTCAGATAATTTCATCTCTCAGGTACGTTTTTTAAGTGAAACTTTCATTAGGCTAACAGGAATATTTCACGCATACTTTGCCTAAATACAGTTGTAGTTAAGTATTGTTGGACATGGAGAACAACCTCAAATTTTGTGCATGTGTCCACCTTTTGCCCCTCAGCCTTTCTTCATTTAGCCAGTAACTGGACAGTAGATAGGTCTTTGTTAGGTCCTTTGTGAACTCTCTCCTTGTGAAATTTGATAAGACAGTCTCTTAATTTATAAGAAGTCAAATTTAACCCTAACATAGTATTAGAACATGTTATTTTCACATTATCAGTAATTCATTAGCCTTTATTGTTAAGTGAGTTTCATTGAGACTTATGATCATAGACTCTGGAATTTTAGAGCAGGAAATGTTCTATATTCTCTCTCTCTTCTTTTAAACATTTCCATTTGGCTCTCAAGAGGCCCAGTAGGTCAGCAGTGGCTTAATATGATTCACTTCACTTAGTATGGTTCTCTTCATCTTGATAGTGACAGCTGAGAGGATACTTTTTATGATTTCTCTTCTAGGATAATAACAGTTTTTAGATTTTGCTTTTAAAATTGTGCCAGTATAATTTTCTCATGGTAAACAAAGTAATAGCGGCTAGTGATAGTTGAATATTACTGAAAAAGAAAGTTAAAAAATAAGCAAACTGTCTTGCCATTTATGAATCAATTTAATTAGAAGTTACATAGAATATGAGTTGTAAAAATTTGAATTTGGTAATAAAATAAGTGTTTAGTTTCAAATTGTGCAAATTGTTATTTATTAATTGTTTTTCCTCATAGGCCCTAAATGTAGTAACCTGGTCTCCCTGTGGGCAATATTTAGCTGCAGGGAGTATTAATGGTTTAATTATAGTTTGGAATGTGGAAACCAAAGATTGCATGGAAAGGTATGATTCAACATATCTTTTGTCTTTTTTTTTTTTTCAACTAATCTCTATACCCAATGTGGGGCTTAAACTCATGACCCTGAGATCAAGAGTTGGATGCTCTACTGACTGAGCCAGCCAGGCACCGCCTTTTATCTTTTTTTTTTTTTCTTATTTCTATTAGATTTTTGCTTATTATGAAATATTTCAAATTTTTGCAAGTATTAGATTGTCAGAATACAAACAGAGTTATTAGTTTGTCAGAAGTCATTTAACCTTTTCTAACTAAAATTTACCTAAAGAAATGTATAGTTTATATACTTTTGGTAGTGTTTTAAGAACTCACTTTTTAATTTTTAGGGTGAAACATGAGAAAGGTTATGCAATTTGTGGCCTGGCATGGCATCCTACTTGTGGTCGAATAGCTTATACTGATGCAGAAGGAAATCTAGGGCTCCTGGAGAATGTTTGTGAACCCAGTGGAAAGACATCAAGCAGTAAGGTAATAAGTAATAGATGGTGAAATAGTTTCTTCAAAGTCTTTTGTGGTCATATGGGTTTGGAAAACACCACAAAATACATTACTTTCTTAGAAAATTATAATTCATGTTATTATATTAGATGTTCAGTAATGATTTATCACAAAGAAAACTGTTTAGACTTGTTTAACCTAATGTTTCCTAAATATATTTTACTGAGAAGCTTTTCCCCCTCCATATAATGCCTATTACTATTCCTTGGCTTTATAAAGAATACCATTATGAAATACTATTTTAGTATCCTGGTGTTCTGGAGATTGTTATTTAAATAAATATAGATAAAAATTAGAGTTTATAACTTAGTTTAGCCTATAAACCTTTTTGCTCTGCATTAGTTTTAATTCTTAGAGCTACCCTTGCATGTCTTAATGCTTAGCCATCTGGCCTTACTGAACTTCTTTAAACAGGCCACCTTGTTTTATACAACTCCTTGTTTTTGTTTGTTATTCTTCCTGCCTGGCAAATATACCCAGTCATATTTTAAGTCTTGGTTTAGGGTTCCAGTTAAAGATCATTCACTTAACATACCCATTTATGTTTACTCAGATACTGATACCTGGAACCCCTGGAAAATAGAAGCATGATGGGACACTTAAGTTTAGCTTCTCAAAAAGTCGAAAAATTGACTCCTGAGACTGCAGTTGGGGGAAAGCGGAGATGCAATTCAGCCTGCCTGACTGAATCCCCCAATGATTCAGAATTTGGTAGCACTAGGCACTTCTAAAAGTGGGGTTGAAAACAGGAGGATTGGTTTAATAAACAAGTAGATATCTCTAGTCTCAACATTAGTGTGCACAGCTAGGTAACTGCTTTCCCTCACTGCCATGTATATTCTGGCAGAATGCTGGAGATTTGTCCTCTAGAAAAGTACAACAGAGAAGGTGTCTGGTTGGTACACTAAGTACAGTTGAGCAGCATTGGGTGGAAGAGGAGTACTGTACTGAAAAGGATTAAATGAAAATGTATATACTTGGATGTTAAAATTCCCAGCTTATTTTTCATACTTGGCTCCTACAGCATTGTCAGCCAGTCTTAGGCTTTTCAGGCAAGAGATTGGAAGAATCGTCTTTGGGGAATCTGTCCAAGAAAAAAAGACCTAAAGAGAGAGAAGATTCTTAACTCCAGGGAAAAAATTTATAAAAGGAAGGGAAAGTGATCACAATATACCACATTTATAAAATGAGGATAGGAATAATGTCTACCACCTAGAGTTTTATTGTGAGAATTACTTGAATTATATATAAAATTAGAACAGTCTCTAGCACAACACTTTATAAGTTATTATTTTTATTTAACCATTTAAATGGTACCATGAGTACCATTTACATGGTCATAATAATCTAAATTCTGTATATTGATCCAACCAAAATGAGAATATATCTATATTGGGAGGATTGGTGTAGGGGAATAGTGTACATACGTACAAGAGAGTAGGGGTGGTTGAAAATTACACCAAATCCTCATGTTTCCTAATATACAGAAGTTAATAGGATCAGTTTAATAGATAATGATTAAAACTGAAAAATCAAAAAAATAGCACTAGAATATTATTTAAAACTATGGAGGAAGGTATCAAAAGAATCATCTAAAAGAATAGAAAAGTAAGTTGGAGGCTCTGCAGGAGGACTGTTTTCATTTTTATAATAAACCTTGTAATTGACTAAATTATATGCATGTGTAACATTATAAAAACAAAGTAAATTTTTAGTTTTTAGTTCAAAGGTCACCTCTTATAAAACCTTAACCCTTATATCCAGAATTGCCCACTCTTCTTTTTGCTTTTATTCTTCATAGTACATATTTCTGTCATAACACCTCTAACACTTTATGGACCTCATCATAAGTATAAGGCAAAAATCCTCATTTTTTATTATTTATTTATTTGTTTTGTTTTTTTTTTGCTTTTTATTTATTTATTTTTTTTTAAAGATTTTATTTATTCATTTATTTGAGAGAGAGAGCACATGAGAGGGGGGAAGGTCAGAGGGAGAAGCAGACTCCCTGCCGAGCAGGGAGCCTGATGCGGGACTCGATCCAGGGACTCCAGGATCATGACCTGAGCCGAAGGCAGTCGCTTAACCAACTGAGCCACCCAGGCGCCCTTTATTATTTATTTTTAAGATTTTATTTATTCATTGAGACACAGAGGTACAGAGAGAGAGCATGAGCAGGGGGAGAGGCAAAGGGAGAGGGAGAGGCAGCTCCCTGCTGAGCCAGGAGCCCAATGTGGGGCTCCATCCCAGGACCCTGGGATCATGACCTGAGCCGAAGGCAGATGCTTAACCATCTGGGCCACCTAGGCGCCCCCAAAAATCCTCATTTTTTTAATAAGAAAATCCAAAAAAAGTTTTTAACAAAGTGAGTACATAAACTTTTAGGACTATAGATAAAATAGTTAAATATAAAGAAAAACTTAAATATTTTTGTAGAACATTTAGTTCTTAATTATTCCTTTCAAATCATGTTTAAATACAGGAGTTTAGGAGCATATTTTTCCTGTTTTCTCATTTCATTAAACATTAGTTTTCTAGAACACAATTTTATGTACTTCCATCTAAAAGATTTGTGATAAAGTCCTTTTGAATCTGTTAATGGCGCTCTCATTAGAATTTTATACCAAATTATAAGTTTCCATTGGCTTAACATTTGTACAGTTTTCATTTATCCTATAGGAGTCAGTTGTGAACTCTACAGTGTATCTGCTTACTATTGACTTTTTTTTTTTTTTTAAGATTTTATTTATTTGAGAGAGCAAGAGAGAGCGTGAGAGCATGAGCACCGTGCAGGGGGCAGAGGGAGAAGCAGACTCCCTGCTGAGTAGGGAGCCCGATGCGGGGCTTGATCCCAGGACCCTGGGTTCATGACCTGAGCTGAAGACAGATGCTCAACCGACTGAGCCACCCACTATTCACTTTTTAAAATGATCTCACTGGCTGGCTGAGTCAGTAGAGCATGCATGTCTTGATCTCAGGGTTATGAGTTCGAGGCCCATGTTGGGCATGGAGATTACCCAACAAATATAGTAATGTGATCTCAAAAACTGTTTACAGTGATATCTGGGATCTACAATGGTAGATTCTACATCTACAACGTTCATATTCCTAGGAGTCAGGGATTAATGTTGAATTTCCTTGCCTCCTTTGTCTGTTGGTTCTATCCATTTACTTTTATAAGCATCCAAAAAAAAAAAAAAAGCCCATAAAAAAGCTTGCTTTGAATGAGATCATTGAAAGCAAACATATCCTACCTAGGCAAATAAATTTAAAATAAAAGTAAATGAGAGAATATCTTATAATAAGAGATTTTATAGGGACTTTAGGTGACTTCTCTGGAGAATGACTTTTGAGGAGTAAAATCTTGCCTTGTATTTGGGGTATATATAGTATTTCTTTACATATCTGTCCTACACTCCTGTCCCATCCATAGACTATAAGGCACTTAAAGTAAGGACTAGGTCTCACATAAATATATAATCCTCGTAAGTACATTTATTAATTATTCTTGTTAGGGCATTTGCTTACTTTGTAGAATGTATAGGTGCATATTACAGAATTGCCTTTTGAGTAATTGATTTATCTAAATAGTTCACTAATATTTTGTAATTTATGTTAATTTGTTCAAGGTTTCTAGCAGAGTGGAAAAGGATTACAATGATCTTTTTGATGGAGATGATACAAATAATGCTGGTGATTTTCTAAATGACAATGCAGTTGAGACCCCCTCTTTTTCAAAGAGGATTATAAATGATGAGGAAGAGGATGACGACCTCATGCTGGCCTCAGGTCGTCCTAGACAGCGAAGTCACATCCTAGAAGATGATGAAAACTCAGTTGGTATGTATTGACTTTGTGGATCTGATTATCTGTCCTGTTGATTGATCTTTTCAATTTTTTATTAAAAGTATTATTTGAAGTCATTATTAAATTTGTAGAGTGTAGCTAACGCAGTGTGCATAGAGGGAAATGTATTAAATACATGTTAGAAAGGTTTCAAATCAATGATCTAAGCTTCTGCTTTAGCAAGATTAGAAAAGAAGAGGAGGGGGGCCTGGGTGGCTCAGTCGTTAAGCGCCTGCCTTCGGCTCAGGTCATGATCCCAGGGTCCTGGGATCGAGCCCCACATTGGGCTCCCTGCTTGGCGGGAGGCCTGCTTCTCCCTCTCCCACTCCCCCTCCTGTGTTCCCTTTCTCACTGTGTCTTTCTCTGTCAAATAAATAAATAAAATCTTAAAAAAAAAAAAAAATAGGGAATTAACTCCAAACTAGCAGAAGGAAGAAAATAAAAAACAATTCAATGATATTGACAACCAAAAAACTGTAAAGAAAGTCAATGAGACCAAAAGCTAATTCTTTGAAAAGATGAGTAAAGTTGTTAAATCTCTATCCTGACTGACCAGAAAGAAAAAGAAGGCACAAATGACTAATATAAGTAATGAGAGGAGAGTCATCACCATAGGTCCTATAGACCTATAATATCCAGTATGGTAGCCACTAGCCACCTGTGGCTATTGAGCACTTGAAATGTGGCTAGTTCAAAATGAGATGTGTTGTAAGTGTAAAATGCAACCAGATTTTGAAGACAGTATGAAAAGAATGCAAAATATTTTAGTCCTTTTTTACGTTGAGTACATGTTGAAATTATAGTATTTTAATATAAAATAATATTAAAATTAATTAGACCTGGGTTTTTTTTTTTACTATTTAAAATAAGGCTACTAGAAAATTTAAAGTTATATATGTAACTAATTTCTGTAAGATAGCACTGCTATTAATAACAAAAGAATAAAGGAGAACGTTATGAACAACTTTGTGCCCGTAAATGTAACAACTTTGATAAAATGGACAAATTCTTTGAAAGATAACAAGCTACCAAGCTAACTCAAGAAATACGTAACGCGCATAGTATAGTATCTGTTAAGGAAATAGGGATTACAATTAAAAAACCTTTAGGGGTACATGGGTGGCTCAGTTGTTAAGCGTCTGCCTTCGGCTCAGGTCATGATCCCAGGGTCTTGGGATCGAGGCCCGCATCAGGCTCTCTGCTCAGCGGGAAGCCTGCTTCTCCCTCTCCTGCTCCCCCTGCTCGTGTTCCTTCTCTCGCTGTGTCTCTCTCTGTCAAATAAATAAATAAAATCTTTAAAAAAAAAAATAAATAAAAATAAAAAACCTTTAAAGTGTCTATTGCAACAACTTGCATGCTAAAATAGCACATTTGAACATTATCAAGTAAAATGCCAAATACCATTTTATGGTGGTAAGTTGTGCTACATTTAAATCATATAGGGTTTTATAGGACAGAAGTCCTAAAATGTTTGGTCTCAGGAGCTCATTACATTCTTAAAAACTTTTGAGGATCCCAAAGAAAATCATTTATGGAGTTATATCTATTGTTATTTACCATATTAGAAACTAAAACTGAGAAATTTAAAAAATATTTAACACACTCATTTATGTAAACATAAAAAACGTTTCAAATGGAAAATTTCGTAAGATAAGTGGCATTATTTTATCCTTTTGCAAGTTTCTTTAGGGTCTGGCATAGAAGATGACTTCAATTCTCTCATGCCTCGGAATTCAGTCTACTGCCATATATGTTGTTTTTGCTTGACGTATGTGTAGAATATTCAGGTTCACATGAACATGTGGTTTGAAAGGGGAGTATTTTAACAGCCTGTTGAAGTACTTGTAGATGTTCTTCTTTGCTACTGTAGCAAAAATTCAACTTACTTGCAATGTGGAATCCAGAAACTCCAGTGAACATTCCAGCTGTATTACATTAAAATCCATTGGTCTGACTTGAACCGATCTTTTAATTTACCATGTTTGATTTTGCAATATATGCATTGGTAATTTGGAAAATACTGGTTCTCTGCAGGTCTGTGGGTCTTTTAATATTGACACATTATTCAGGGTTATTTGTTAGTATCATCACCAATCTCATCAGAAGTTTTTAAGTATTAGGAAACAGTCAAGCTCATGGTGGCAGGTACAAGTTTTCTAATATTCTGATTTTTGCTTGAAAACTCAAATTTTATCATTGACAACAAATTTGTCAGTTACTTTTCTTAAATGATCAACTTCATTTATTTAAAGAAAATGTTTACCACATACCAAGGTCGGCATAGCCATAGTTTATCTGGCATTCTTTCAAGTAAAAATGATGTTCCATGAAAAGATCAACTAGTTCAGCTTACAACTCAATTGCACAAATGCTTTTTTTTGGGAGGGGGGCAGACATCCCACTTTATGCACACTTCCCATTTTAGCACAGAGAACATTTTTTAAAAAATTTATGCGACATCAAGATTCAACAGAATTAGTATTTTTGCTGCAATTGAGTGGTGGTTAACTAACTGTATTAGTCGACTACTAATACAGATTGGTGCCACTACCCTAATTCATGTTACCACACCAACAGTTTTACCCTCCATTGTTTTTGCACCATCACTGTAACTGTTAACATAGTGGAAGAGGCAGATAGCACGTTAGTATTATTAAGTATGAATGGAAAAGGTTATTTCGATTGCATAATGCTTTCTTTTTTCAAGATCATTGGTATTGGGCGCCTGGGTGGCTCAGTTGGTTAGGCGATTGCCTTCGGCTCAGGTCATGATCCTGGAGTCCCGGGATCGAGTCCTGCGTCGGGCTCCCTGCTCAGCGGGGAGTCTGCTTCTCCCTCTGACTCTCCCCCCTCTCGTGTGCTCTCTCTTTCTCTCTCTCAAATAAATTAAAAAAAAAAATCTAAAAAAAAAAAAAGATCATTGGTATTTATGATACTCTAATTATAATTCTTTATTTTCTAGATGTTACAATGTTAAAAACTGGTTCTAGTCTTCTCAGAGAGGAGGAGGAAGATGATCAGGCAGACAGCATTCATAATCTACCACTTGTAACATCCCAAAGGCCGTTTTATGATGGGCCAATGCCAACTCCCCGGCAAAAGCCATTCCAGTCAGGTTCTACGCCCATGCATCTCACACATAGGTTCATGGTAAGCCTTGGATCTACACTTAACTTTAAAATAGTTTTATCTGACTCTTTAACTTGTAAGTATTTTATCTCATTATAATTAATTTTGTTTGGTACAAAATATTTTTAAAAACCTTGATTAACTGGCCTGGAGCACTTTGGTTCATTATAATTTTGTGGTTGATTTATTTTATGGTTAACTTACAGTTTTAATCTTATTTCAACCTTATTATTGGAAATCATGTTAAATGAAATTCTGCTTTGCAAAGTGACATATAATGAACATAATGTGACTGTATATCTTGCAATATCTCTTGACTGTACCTCCAAACTTGATTTCTCATAGTTTTATTTAGAAGTTTATACTGATTTCAAAACACTAGTTAGAAGGTGTTTTTTGAAGGCACCTCCTAGTTTAATATATTAGAAGGTGATAAGTAGTATGGAAAACAAAGTATCTGCCTCTTTTCCCCACCCACCCCATAAATTCCAGAAAAATAAGAAATGTTTGTTTTGTTTACTGATAGCACTTAGAAAAAGGTATGACACAGTAGGCATTAAGATTATATTTCCTAAATGGATGAATGAATATATTAGCTTTTTGTTTTGAGAACTAAAAGTTTAATATTTTTATTTGTTGGTTATTTAAGGTTTTCCACTGAGGACTTTGCCTCTTGTCCTTTTTGAAAGGTATAGGCCTGGCATAAATTTGTATGTAAATATTAAAGGTCATGTTTTATTTTAATAAAACTTTTTATTGCTGTCCGTAATCATCAAGTGATAGGTCTTAATTTTTTATTGTCAGCTATTTTATTTATAGTTATTTGTAGTAGAGGAAAGGAAACACTAGGGCCTAGTGTGTGAGCCTGTAGTATATATGGGTGGAAGGTAAGTTTTCTAAACGGTATTGATTTATGTTGCCTTAAAATGTGTGTATTTTTTCCTACAGTATAAAGCAGTTAGTTGGAATAGGAAAATATCCTGTCATTTGTATCCATATTTATACGTAAATAAATTTTTGAGGTATTTCTTTTGTAGAATTTAATGGTTTGGTTGTTCAGAATTGTATTTTATTATGGCAGTCATGTAATTTTTAAAATATTAAATGAAATACTCCCATTTGCTAGTAAATATTTATGTGCCTTCTTATGAAAAGAATAGATAGTAATTGTAGTTCTGATGTCACTACTCTTACTTGAAACTATTTAAAGGTAGATGAGCTGTGGTTGCTCCCATAACTTCAATTTTGATAGACTGAATTATATTTATTAATTTGTACTACTTTAGTTTACTGATTCTAGGACCTTTAATTTTTCTCAGACTTGTATTTAACCTTAATATTTGTAGGTGTGGAACTCTGTTGGAATTATTCGCTGCTATAATGATGAACAAGACAATGCCATAGATGTGGAGTTCCATGATACCTCCATACACCATGCAACACACTTATCAAACAGTTTGAATTACACAGTAGCAGATCTTTCTTATGAAGCTGTTTTGTTGGCATGTGAAAGCACTGATGAACTCGCAAGGTAAATTCCAGATTATTAGGAAGAGTTTGTCACTGCTGAATTGTTAGATACAGAAGAGTTTCATACATAATACCTCAGAACATGTCTGTTTTTGCCTAATTGTCCTGTCCTTTACATTCTCTAATTACAAATTCAGATGACATGGGGCGTCTGGGTGACTCAGTCGGTTAAGCATCTGATTCTTGATCTCAGCTCAGGTCTTGATCTCAGGGTTGTGAGTTCAAGCCCTGCGTTGGAGGGGGGAGGAGTTGACGACACAATTCACAATTTGTAATTGCAAGAGAAATTAAAGAGTTAGATTAAACATTGTTACTCTGTTTCATTACTATTGTAAGATATATACATATAATATACAGATGTATATAATATGGTATATTATATAATTATTATTATAATTATTTCCATATAATATTTAATATATATATTGTAAACAAAAAAGCAGTACAGGATTTTTAGGAAATAAAAACTCCCCCCTGAATTCTACTCTCAGATGTAACCACTGTTAACAATTTGGTATGTATTCTTCTAGATTTCTTTTTGTATAAACCCCTGCCTCCTTTTTAAATTTACTTTATTAGTGTAATTCATGTACAATAAAATATACCTGTTTTAGGTATACGGTTTGATGAGTTTAACGAATGTGTGTGTATTCAGGTAATAACTATCACAATCAAAAAATTATTTTTTATTTTTTTTAATTTTTTTCAAACATTTTCAAATTTAAATTCAATTAATTAACATAAAATATATTTTTGGTTTCAGAGGTACAGATCTGTGATTCATCAGTCTTATATAATACCCAGTGCTCATTACATCACATGCCGTCCTTAATGTCCATCACCCAGTTACCCTATCCCCCTACCCCCCCTACCCCTCCAGCAACCCTCAGTTTGTTTCCTATGATTAAGAGTCTCTCATGGTTTGTCTCCCTCTCTGGTTTCATCTTGTTTTATTTTTTCCTCTCTTCCCCTATGATCCTCTGTTTTGTTTCTTAAATTCCACATATCAGTGAAATCATATAATTGTCTTTCTCTGATTGACTTACTTCGCTTAGCATAATACACTTAAGTTCCATCCATGTCATTGCAGATAGCAAGATTTCATTTTTTGATGGCTATGTAATATTCCATCGTGTGTGTGTGTGTATGTGTGTGTGTGTGTACCACATATATATTTTTTAATTTATTTATTTGTCAGAGAGAGAGAGCACATGCAGGGGGAGCGGCAGGCAGAGGGAGAAGCAGGCTCCCCGCTGAGCAAGGAGCCCGATGCGGTACTCGATCCTAGGACCCTGGGATTGTGACCTGAGCCTAAGGCAGACGCTTAACCGACTGAGCCACTGAGGTGTCCCTATACCACATCTCCTTTATCCATTCATCTGCTGATGGACATTTGGGCTCTTTCCATAGTTTGGCTATTGTGGACATTGCTCCTATATTTTTAAGTAATCCCTACACCAATGTAGGGCTTGAACCCACCACCCCAAGACCAAGAGTCACACACTCTACTGACTGAGCCAGCCAGGTGCCCCTCAAAATATTTTTTATCACTCAAAAATGTACCCTTGTATCCCTTTGCAGTTAATACCAGCCTTGGACAACTACTGACCTGGGTTTTTTTCTGTTTTTTTTGTTTTTGGAGGTTTTTTTGTCACTATAGGTTAGAACTGAAACTTTTAAAAAAAGGGAGGGGGCAGAACAATATTTGGTAAGTAGATACATAAACAGAATTATGATGGAAAAGCAGTGAAATGCTGAATCTATCCATATTTTTTTTAAGGAAGAAAAAATATTTTTATTCAGCTTTCAGTTATTTTAGCCAGATTGCCTTTTCCTGATCTCTTTTCTTCAGCTGATTTTAGTGCTTATATACTTGATTATAGATTTTACCAACTCCGAGGTGATTTGAAATTAATCCTGATTGGATACATTAGCTTCTTGCTGCTCAAAGTGTGGTCCACAAACTAGGGGCATGGGTCACCTGGAAGCTTGTTGAAAACAGAATCTCAGACCCCACCCCAGACCTAAATCAAAATCTGCATTTTAATGAGATCCACAGGTGATTGAGTATGCATTAGAGTCTGAAAAACACATTTTAACATTTTAATAGTTTCCTAATTTACACATTGTAAAATCCACTCAATACTTCATTATTGAATTAAATTAGTTCACTAAAATAAAACACTGTTGCCTCAGTGTCTCCAACTCAGAGTCTTACATAATTAGAACATTTGTTTCCATGTGCAATTTTGATTTCAGGTATCTTTCTCTATTTTCCTGGATATGTTATTTCACAGCTATATACAATGTTATTTTTCATTTTAAAATTGAATTTAGGGGTGCCTGGGTGGCTCAGTTGGTTAAGTGTTTGCCTTTGGCTCAGGTCATGATCCCAGGGTCCTAGGTTTGAGCCCCTCATCGGGCTCCCTGCTCAGCAGAGTCTGCTTCTCCCTCTCCCTTTGCTGCGCTCCCTCCCCCCCCACCGGCTCCTGCTCTTACTCTCTCTCTCTCAAATAAATAAATAAATCTTTAAAAAAATAAAATAAAATTGAATTTAAAATTACTCTTCAGAAAATCAGTACTACCTCTGGTTCCAAATACTATAGTATCTGCATTCCCAAGCTTAACTTTAATAACTTACATGTATGTATGTATGCAAAGAAAAAAGACTGGAAACATATATCAAATTGTTAGCAGTGGTGGGATCTTGCTGGTGGGATTATGTGTGATTGTTTTTCCTTTTTTTCCTTTGTTTTCCTGTATTAAATTTTTTTGGCAGTGAAAGAACTCTTCTGTAACATTTTGATGCTTCTTCCCTTTTTAAAAATTTAGTTGTGATTTTTCTGCACATTTGCAACCTAGGATCATATTCTGCAGATTTTAGTCTGCCTGTTTTCACTAAACATTAAGTTATGAGCATTTTCCTGTTAGTGAAACATTAAGTTATGAGCATTTCCCTGTTAACGTAACTGTTAATGGTTTTAATATAGTTCATTTTAAGGATATTTCATAATTACTTTCTCAAAGCTATTTTTGTACTATTTATGTTTAATAAAAAAATTAGCTATTTGGTTTTGTCACTGGGTATCATGATTAGTTTTATATATATAAAATATCAAGTATGAAAGTTTGATTGTTTCTGTCTTGTTTCAATTTTTAGCAAGCTTCACTGTCTGCACTTTAGTTCTTGGGATTCAAGCAAAGAGTGGATAGTAGACATGCCTCAGAATGAAGATATTGAAGCTATATGTCTTGGTCTGGGATGGGCAGCTGCTGCCACCAGTGCCATGCTCCTTCGATTGTTCACTATTGGAGGTGTTCAGAAAGAGCTCTTCAGTCTTCCTGGGCCTGTAGTATCAATGGCAGGACATGGAGAACAGCTTTTCATTGCTTATCATAGAGGTAGATTTTTTTTCTAGTCTTTTATAATTTTACCGGGACCTGAAGTAAAATGAAAATTACTTGAGTTTTTTTTCTCTTTCTGTTGTTTTGGGTTATATACCTGCTTTTGCATTCATTTTAGTATTTGAATCAGTGTCATCTTTGTACAGAATTTTGTTGTATTCACTAAATGCAATGAAAATGAAAATATTTTATTTATAGGGAAACTGTTCTAGAAAGAATTCCAAGGTTAGTTACTTCCATGTCTAAATCTTAAAAGAGTTTTCAGAGTTTAAATGCCTCAAAAAATAAACTAACTTCTAGCGTGCAGGAGCAAGTCACCTTGAATATGACTTAAAAAGTCGCTGCTTCCTTTTCTTCACCTCATATTCTGTCTTCAGTCCCCACCACTATGTTGTCAAGACTGATTTTATCAAGATGATTGATACGGGGCAGGTGACCTTCATCTCAGGGCCATGAGTTCAAATCCCATGTTGGGCCTAGAGCTTACTTTAAAAAAAAAAAAAGATTACTGATAATCTTGTTATGCTTATTTTTTTGGTCATTCCATTGGAAACACTTTCTTTTTCTATTTTTTAAAAATTTTATTTAAATTCAAGTTAACATAAATACTGTAGTATTGGTTTCAGGAGTAGAATTTAGTGACTCATCACTTACATGTAACACCCACTGCTCATCACAACGAGTGCCCTCCTTAATAACCCATCATCCATCTAGCCCATCCCCCTGCCCACCTTCCCTCCAGCAACCCTGTTTGTTCTCTTAACTATAGAGTCTCTTATGGTTTGCCTCCCTCTCTGTTTTTATCTTATTTTATTTTTCCTTCCCTTCCCCTATGTTCATCTGTTGGGTTTCTTAAATGCCACATATGAGTGAAATCATATGATATTTATCTTTCTCTGACTGACTTATTTTGCTTAGCACAGTACACTCTAGTTCCATCTTTCTCTCTTTTTTTAAATTTTAATTCCAGCATATTTAAAATACAGTGTTATATTAGTTCCAGGTGTACAATATAGTGATTCAACAATTCCATACATCTCCCAGTGCTCATCACAACAGGTGCACTCCTTAATCACTATCATCTATTTTACCCATCCCCCATCCAGCACTTTCCTTTCTTAGATTCTGTGACATCACTCCGGATGTTTTTCTTACTGATAACTCAGGTAAGCAGATGTTCTGCTGGCTGCACCTCCTATGCCAGCTTCTTAGCTGGAGTGCTCCAGGACTCTGTCATAGCCTCTCTTCTCTAGTACCCTCTCTAGATGAGGAGCTTCCAGTCTTTTGACTGTTAGCCCTAATAAGAAGTACGTTCTACATTGCTATTCTGTATATATCTGTAAATGTAACTGAAATAAAAGTCTCATGGACAGTATATACTCTTTGATTTCCGTTTTCTTTAAAGATCTTATTTATGTATTTATGTATTTATGTATTTATTTGACAGAGAGAGAGAGCACAAGCGGGGAGCAGCAGGCAGAGGGAGAGAGAGAAGCAGGCTGAGCAAGGAGCCTGATGCGGGGCTGAATCCCAGGACCTAGGGATCCTAACCTGAGCCGAAGGCAGACGCTTAACTGACTTAGCCAGGCAGTCGCCCCTGATTTCGGTTTCCTTTAAACACTCTTTGTAACTTTAAATTGATTTCTTGACTCATAGCTCAAAAATGCAGTTTGAGAAACTACTCTGGGATATTTCCTTAAGGCCTGTGGCTTTTTTTTTTTTAAGGTTTTATTTATTTATTTGACAGAGAGCACAAGTAGGCAGAGTGGTAGACAGGGAGAGGGAGAAGCAGGCTCCCCATTGAGCAGTGAGCCTGATGTGGGGCTCGATCCTAGGACCTGGGGATTATGACTCAAGCTGAAGGCAGACAGTCAACCAAGTGAACCACCCAGGCACCCCAGGGCCTGTGGCTTTAAATATATCTGTGTGTACATGACTTATACATTAGTATCACCAGCCCTACCCTCTCCTTGTATCTACAGACTTACTTATCCAGTGGCCACTTCAAATCTCTTTGTACAATTTTGATACACATTTCAAACTTAACTTGGTCATAATAAAACCTTTGGGTTTTTGTTTTTGTTTTTTACCTTCCACCTTGCCTTTTACTTAGTTTTCTCCATCTGAGTAAATGGCATACTATTATATTAACCCAGCCACTCAAGGCAGAAACGAATCGTGGATTCTTCTCTTTCCCTCATCCCTCTACATCACCCTATCAGTGAAGTTGTATCACCGTGTCAGTTCCATCGAGTAAAAACATTCCAAACCGTCTTTGCATCTCCTCCACTAAAACCCCAGTCCAACCCAGATGTCTTCTCTTGAACTAGTAGCCCTGTAACTGGCTTGTTAGCTTCAGTCCTTGCCTTCCACAGTCCATTCTCCATATAGCAGCCTGAGTGATCTTTTAAAAACATAAATCTGAACATGTCCCTTTTCTGCTCAGATTCCTCTGATGACTTCCCATTGCTTTAGAATAAAAATCAAACTTTGTATCACAGCTAGGAACGCCCTACATGATCTGACCTTTGCCTGCCTCTTCAACTTTATCTTTTGCCACTTTTTCATATTATTCATTCTAGCCATACTAGCTTCTTTGTGTTCTTCAAATTTACCAAGCTTGTTCCCGTCTTAGGACCTTTTCATTAGCTGTTCCTTCTGCTTACTATATTATAGCTCTTTCCCCTAACTAGTTTGCAATTTATATCTCAGCTAAATTTCACTTTTTCAAAGAGGCCACCTCTGACTGTCCAGTCTAAAATAATCACTCAGCCTGACACTCTGTGTCACATTATTATTTTAATTCTTTGATAATAGTTCACATTTTTTTTTCTTTTTCAAAGTTAGTCTTCCCCTACCTGAATATAAATTTCATGAGGACATGTCTTCTTTACCATTGTAGCCCTAGTACCTGGCACATAGTAAGCTCTTTGTAAATACTTCTTGGGTGAATGAATTACCACTTAATACCACTTTATATAAATAGTCCCTGTAACGTAGTATTCTGCTTCTAATACCTGAATGGTACCTCAGACCAGGTGGGTTATCCATAAAAGGTAGTGTTAGTTAATATAAGAATTCATCACAAAATCAAGTCAATTCACAGAAGGTACTCTAGACTGCTTTATAGCTAAATAGCCTTTGATACCTGATTTCTATTTATATATTCTCACTAGGTGCAGGATTTGATGGTGATCAGTGCCTTGGAGTTCAACTGCTAGAGCTGGGGAAAAAGAAAAAACAAATTTTACATGGTGATCCTCTTCCTCTTACGAGGAAATCCTACCTAGTGTGGGTTGGATTTTCAGCTGAAGGCAAGATAAACTCATTTATTTATATTAAAGACATTTTTTCAAGTAGAAATTGTTCCATTGTTTTATTCCTAATTGTTTTTTTAAGGCAAATTGTCTATATTGTATGTTTAAATTCCTTTACTATGTTGGCAGTGGGAAACGAATTGTTAGGCAAGGTAGCCATTGTTTTATGTATAAGATCTGTTGTTCGTGTGAATTCTGGTTAGAAAACATACAAAGAGAGAAATACATTTCTCTAAAAGTTTGTTATGGATAACAAGGAGGAGTTGGGAAACACAACAGTGACAAGGCCAAGAAAGCAAGAGGAAGAAGAGTACTACAGACAGAGATCTTTAGATCATCACTGTGCATCAGGTTCTGATCATTTTTCCAAGTCTCTCTTAACTAGCGAAACTTCAGATTCAGGTTTAAATTTTTTTTTTTTTTTACTGAAATTGTCTTTTACAAATACTGCTATATTCCAGCAGGTGGCATAGTTCTCACTGAAACTATCAGCTTTTTCTCTTGGATAAATTTTAGTCATATCACATGCAATTTTTTTTTTCTTTTATTCAGTTAGATCTTACTCTGTGTAGTTAATGAAGTTTTGTGGGAAATGATCTTTAATTATTCACCTTTTTGCTTTTGAATTGACAACTGAATCATTGGTATGTATTTTTTAAATAGGATTTATTTCACAAATATGTAGCTATTTCCCCCGAGTGATTTCTTTTTCATTTGCTGTGTAGGTACCCCCTGTTACACAGATTCAGAAGGCATTGTTCGAATGCTTAACAGAGGGCTTGGTAATACATGGACTCCCATATGTAACACAAGAGAACACTGCAAAGGAAAATCTGATCATTACTGGGTGGTTGGTATCCATGAAAATCCCCAGCAACTGAGGTAGGCTATTAGAAAGTGCTTAGTTGATTCTTTCTAAAAAGTACTTTGAAATTTTTTGTTTTGTACTCTTTTGTTTAAAGGTATTTAAAAATTTTTTTTGTCCTTTACCTTAGTTCATTTATTTGCTTTCCATATTCACTAGCTTAGAAATTTGTTTATACTCATTTTGAAGTTTTCAACATGACTTAGAACTTACTGAACAAAAGTTTATTGGTGTAACTATAGTATTATTTCAGCCAGACAGGGAAGGGAGTTCTGGCTAAATGTGGCATTTCATCTTTTATTACAGCCTTTTATTTTAAACTATGATTTAGAATTGAATAATGTAGTGGCTTTTTGAGATTTTTAAAAGCCTCAGTAATTATAACCAGGGAGAGGGCTAATAGAAATTTAGTAGTTGACTGCAAGTGTAAAACTCAATCTGTATAGTCTCTATTCGATATTAAATATTTTCCTCTTTTTTGACACCTGATATCTTCTTGGTCTAAATAGTTGGCAGTGGTATTGTGTAGGTACTTGGTGAACAAAGAGGTCTCTGCTTTCATGGAGCTTTTAGACTGGGGAGATAGATAACAGAAATAAGTAAATATTAATTACTATTTGGGATAAATGCCACAAATTAATCTTGAGTAGACCCATGATGGGGAATAACAGAAGGGCACATTCTAGGTAGCATGGTCACATAGGACTCTTAATAGAGATAGTATTAAAATGAGACCCAAAGCCAAGGAGTCTGTTGGGCAAAATGGAGTGAAAAATGATCCATGCAGAATAGACAGCATGTATAAAGGTCCTCAGGTCAGAAAGAGCTAGGTATGTTTAAAGAATTGAAAGAATGTAAATGTGGCTAGCATACAAGAAGTGAGGGTTGATGGGAGGCCTAAGTCCATGATGATATCAGGAAGTTAGACACAGGCTGCATTATAGACCATATAGAGAAGTTAGTATTTCATTTGAAGTTGTATCATGAAGCCATTCTACAGTTTTATCTGGGGAATGATGTAATCTGATTTATACTATAAAAAGAAAAATACATGTGGTAAATGGAAAGACAAAGTAGGGAGCCCAGTTTTCAGTCAGGGGATTTATCCTGCTCTCTGAGGATGTTTGGAGATGTGGGGTAGTATTTTTAGCCATCACAATGATTAGGAGTTACCCTGGCATTTAGAGAGCTGTGGCCAGGGCTGTCAAACATCTTACAGTGTGCAGGATGGACCTGCTCAACTACAGATTATCCTTCCCCAAGTGCTATCAGTGCCTCCATTCAGAAACATTGAGGAGGATTTTGCAGTCATCTAGCTGAGCTATAAGTATAGCTGGAATTAGTGTGGGGGCAGTAGAAATTAAGGAAACTAGATTTGAGATAGAAACAGTAGGATTTTGTGATAGATGGGGTGTTGGGAGTGAGAGAGAAGACTCAATAATGACGCCCGTGTCTCCAATTAAAACAACTAGATGGATAGTTGTACCATTTACAGAAATAAGAGACATGAAAACGAATTCTCTCTTGGGTATGTTAAGTTTGAAATGCCTGCAGGATCTCCAAATGGAGATATCAGGAAGGTATTGTAATACATGATTGTAAGATACAAATTTGGGAATCACCAGAATATAGAAGGTATTTAAAGTCATAGTAATAAACGAGATCACTTAGAGGGAAAGAAACAAAAAAGGTCACGGAACCCACCCCTTAGAAATTCCAACATTTAGAGGTCAGATATTGGGAGAAGGAGCTTTTGAATGAGGAAAAGGAATATTAGCTAAGCAAATAAGAGAAAAATCACTTGAAGAGGGTCATATCACAGAAGCTATAAGTAGACTATTTCAAGAAAGGCAATAGTTAGAAAAGAAAATAAAAATGGCTCTTGAATATATGAAAAGATACCAAAATAAGAAAAATACAATCAAAACTAAAAAGAATTCTCTTTTTACTTATCAAATGAGGAAAATCTGAAAATTTGATAACACTCTTAGTTGGTGAGGCTGGGGGGAAATAATCAAACTTAAAATTGCTGTTAGGAGTATAAATTGGTTACAATCCCTATGGAAGGCAATTTGTCAAGAACTACCAGAATTAGAAATGCATGTGCTTTTTTATCTGCCTTAGGATTTGTCCAGCATATATACTAGTACTTGCTATTTAAAGTGTGATCCATGGACCAGCAGCATCAGCATCACCAGGGAGCTTATTAGAAATGCCAAATATCAGGGCACCTGGGTGGCTCATTGGTTAATCATATCCTTTCAGCTCAGGTCATGATCCCAGGGTCCTGTGATCGAGCCCCATGTTAGCTCCCCACCCCCCCATGCTCTCTTTCTTACATGCATATGCGCACACTTTCTCTCTCTCAAGTAAATAAAATCTTAAAAAAAAAAAAAAGAAACGCTGAATCTCAGGCATCAGTTAGACCTAACTGAATCAGAACCTGCATTTTAACAAGATCTTCAGGTGCTTTGTGTGCGCATTAAAGTTTAGGAAGTACTGAGGCTAGCACGTGTGGGAATGATACATGTAAAAGATATCCTACATTGTAGGATTGTTGATATTAGCAAAGGATTGGAATCCTAAATTTCCATTAGTAGAAGAATAGGTAATACTGTTATGTACAAGTGTACAGTAGAATACTATGTAGATTTTTTAAAAGATGAAACATCATTTATGTGATAAGGGATGTGTATCAGAATATATAAAGAACTCTTGAAACTCAAAAAAAGTTAACTCAAAAAATAGGCAAAGTATTTGAATAGACATTTCTCAAAAGAAAACACACGTGGCTTATAACGCCTGAAAAGATATTCATTAGTTATTAAGCATCATTAGTTATTAAGGAAATGCAAATCAAAACCACAGAGATACCACTTCATACCCACTAGGATGGTTATTATCCAAAAGATGGACAATAACTAGTGCTGTTGAGCATATGGAGAAATTGGAACCCTAACCAGCACTAGGTGGGGATATAAACTGGTACAATTTGGCATTTCCTGAAACGGTTAAAAATAGTTAGCATATGACTTAACTGTTCAACTCCTAGGGATATAAATAAAAGAATTAAAAACACGTCATTTGAGTCCATACAAAACACCTGCCTTTAATCATGAATATGAGTAATTACTAATCTATAGAAGCTGTCACTTCTGTCTCCATTTGAAACGCACATCAGTTTAGCAAAAACTGTCTTTATTGTTTCCTCTGAAGATTTTTTTTCATGATCACTACTGGTTAATATATAACTGAGTTTACTTTGCTCTCTACAAACATCTACCTCCCTTCCTTTTCTCTTTAGCTTTTAAAAGCTCTTAAGAGTTATTTAACATGCTTGAAAACAAATTCTTTTTTTGAGTTTTGTTTGTTTAACTAGCATTTGTTATAGTACTGACTATATGTGCTACACTACATAAAGGTAAATAAGGCCAGCAGCGGAAGAGTTGGCTGGTAAAATCATTATCTACTCCTGAGTAACTGCTCTAAACAAGTTGTGAACAAAGTCTCCTCCATGCAACCCAGGACACAAAGCAAAACTTGTTGCCTGGGGGAAGCTTAGTCTGGACATTGGCCCCAATTTTCTCTAGTCTGATATTTTTTCAACTCTTCCTTTAGTAAGAGAGCAAGTTTTATTATTTATTTGAAAAGGAATTTAAGTAATTTTGTCTTGTTAGTAAACCGTAGTTTATTTTTTCCATTTTCTCCTCCAGATGGTTTAGCCACACAGTTTCCAGGAAGCTCATTCATTGTAGGCAGAACCCACCAAATTAGCAGTCAAATGAGTTTGCTTTTCCTCTTCTTCCATGAAAGGGATATTTAATGGAGAACAGGTCTTTTTATTTCAAGTCTTTAAAAGATAAGAAATGTGAATTAGTACTCTGCTTTGATGTAAATGTGGCTTGAAAAAACTATAAATAAAATCCTAATTTTTCGGGCGCCTGGGTGGCTCAGTTGGTTAAGCAACTGCCTTCGGCTCAGGTCATGATCCTGGAGTCCCGGGATCGAGTCCCGCATCGGGCTCCCTGCTCGGCAGGGAGTCTGCTTCTCCCTCTGACCTTCCTCCCTCTCATGCTCTCTGTCTCTCATTCTCTCTGTCTCAAATAAATAAATAAAATCTTTAAAAAAAAAAAATCCTAATTTTTCTTTGTGACAATTGCTTACTATGACTAAGTCAATAAAATATTTGAGCTATAAAATGTTTTTAAACAAGAGAGTATGTATTTTTATAGAAAAATAAATGTTAAGGCAATTAAGATTACTCCCAATGTTACTTCTGATTTTGTTAATATACATATATAAGTATATAATTAGACTTATTCCTTTCTGAATGCACATGTTTGTTTTCATTTTGCATGACCAATAAACCACTGGCTTTTGTGAATGACAGAATTGCTACAAGAGATTTTTTTCAAGTATTCACACTGCTACCTCACATTGTGTGGTGACAACCACTGATTTACATGAAATCATAAAAGGGGAGGAAGAAGAAATGAAATTATATGTTCAAAAATATTGGAGCTCTAAAAACATGTTTGTATTTTTATTATATGGTCACAAAAAGAAGGTGTATTCAAATCTTACTAGGAAGGGGGGGCCTCTGTAGTTTGAAAAAAATTCCTGAGTATTGCCACTTATTAATTTTTAATTATTCTAGTGGGCATTTGATAATATTAGACACTTATGAAAAAAATTTATACCAGAGGATCTGATTTCTACTTAGTATTTTCCCTTTAAGAAAATCATGACTTTAAGCCATGACTAAAAGGCTGTACTATAAATGGGTGGTTATTAATAAGCATTGACTATTGTACTATATTTTTAAATGACTAGAAAAATTAGAAAATTCACCCAAGGTACTTACAGTGTGTGAGCATGGTTTTCCAGTGGTTTTCTTATAAATAATTTGGAGTACATAAGTTAAAAGGGTATTCTACGTGTGTATATCATTCTGTGATTAATGAATGCTTTTTAATTAATAAATTGCATTAGTATTCATACTGATGGTCGTCTTTAAATACCTTACATATCCTAATCAGAAAAGGTTTAGACAAAGTTCTTGCCCACTGAGCTATTTATTACCACGTAAGGCAACCATTGATTTAGCAGAGCAGGTATATATTATAACCAGGTATATATTGGATTTTCTGCTTCATTTTTACCAATATCTAGTAATAGATACTTATCTGTATTGGACATAACACCATCTTTTTCTCTTATTTGACACTTTTACCAAACTGATAAAATAAAAGTGAAATGCTTTATCAGCATTTCATCTTGGGTGATCTGTTTTATAACATGGATCCCTTGACAAGTCTTTATGGCACAGCTGCCCTATTTTAAAAGTGGGCAGTTTGCTAAGGAAAAACTGATGTGAGGAGGGATTGTTGAAATTCTTGAAATGCATGGGGAGAAATAGTTTTTAAACCTAATCAGGTGTGAAGTTAAAAAGAGTAATTTGTTGTATATTATTAAGCCAGCTATTGGCATAATATTATTCCAAGTTACTGAATTTAAGAAATTTTATATTTTAACAGTTTTTATGATTTGGGTGGAAGTTTTTGTGGTGAGACTTTTTTTTTACTGACAGGTGCATTCCTTGCAAAGGTTCTCGGTTTCCTCCCACTCTTCCGCGCCCTGCTGTAGCTATATTATCCTTTAAGCTTCCTTATTGTCAGATTGCAACAGAGAAAGGACAAATGGAGGTATGTGGAAATCTTACCTTGACACTCTGAATTTGATAATATAATGCCTGTGACGTAGACATTTAAAAATTTCCCTGATGACCAGTGTTGAATACTCATTACTTTATAATTAAATAAATAGTGGTAGCAGGGAGGGAGGATGACTGCTTATGATCACCAGGGTACCTGATTGCCATCACTGCTTCCAGGGATTTTGTCTGTGAGGTAAATGGGTATGAACATCAGGGTAAGGCTCTCAGTCGCAGAGTTGGGTGAGTGCCTGAGAGGGCAGGCCTCCATAAATATTGTGTTTTAGGCCAGGCTTGCCTCACTTTAGTCCTAGCCCTGTGCCATCAAAAGTCATTTGAAATCTTGTAATTAGTTAATCTAAACAAATAGCAAACCAGCTCTTAAAAAATAGTTTACCAAATTCTCTGAGCATTAACTATGATAGCTAAGAAACTATTTAAAATGCTATATTTCCCTTTTTTAAGGACAGAAGATGAAGTTAAGCTTTGGTATCACATTAAAATTTGAATTCCAAACTAAACTATACAAAGAGTATTTCAAAAATTATTTTATTCGGAATCTGTTATCTTTTTTTTTTCTAAACGATTTTATTTATTTATTTGACAAAGAGAGACACAGCGAGAGAGGGAACACAAGCAGGGGGAGTGGGAGAGGGAGAAGCAGGCCTCCCGCTGAGCAAGGAGCCTGATGTGGGGCTCGATCCCAGGATCCTGGGATCATGACCTGAGCCGAAGGCAGACGCTTAACGACTGAGCCACCCAGGCGCCCCCAGAATCTGTTATCTTAAGATAAATATTTAACACTTGCTGGTAGTTTAAGCAGTTTTTTCCACTTTTGTAGGAACAATTTTGGCGTTCCATCATGTTTCACAATCACCTTGATTATTTAGCTAAAAATGGTTATGAATATGAAGAAAGCACTAAAAATCAAGCAATAAAAGAACAACAGGAGCTTTTAATGAAAATGCTTGCGGTGAGTAAAATAAATATGCTGGAAAAATTAAAGTTACACTTTTCTATAGATTGGATTCCTTAAAAGTATGTGAATTAGCACCAAGTTCCACAACATCAAAATCTTTTTTTTTTTAATTTTTAAGATTTTAATTCTAGTATAATTTACAGTGTTGTATAAGTTTCAGGTATTCAATACAGTTATTCAGCAATTCTCTACCTTACTCAGTTGTTTCCCAGTTGATGTTGCAGTTAAAATATTTTTTAAAAAAATAAATAAAATATTTAAGACATTACCTTGTAACTAAGATCATAGGCAGATATGTGTACTTTTTTTTTATTATGTTAGTCACCATACAGTACTTCATTAGTTTTGATATAGTGTTCCATGATTAATTGTTTGCATATAACACCCAGTGCTCCTTGCAATACGTGCCCTCCTTAACACCCATCACCAAGCTAACACATCCCCCGCCCTCCTCCCCTCTAAAACCCTCAGATTGTTTCCCAGAGTTTTTAGTCTGTCATGGTTTGTCTCCCACTTTGATTCCCCCCCTTCATTTTTCCCTTCCTTTTCCTAATGTCCTCCATGCTATTCCTTACGTTCCACATATGAGTAAAGCCATATGATAATTGTCTTTCTCTGCTTGACTTATTTCACTTAGCATAATCCCCTCCAGTTCCATCCATGTCGATGCAAATGGTGGGTATTCATCCTTTCTTTTCATTACTTCTGTATCTTTGGGGTAAATACCCAGTAGTGCAATTGCTGGGTTGTAGGGTAGCTCTATTTTTAACTTTTTGTGTAAACTCCATACTGTTTTCCAAAGTGGCTGTACCAACTTGCATTCCCACCAGCAGTGTAAGAGGGTTCGCCTTTCTCCACATCCTCTCCAACATTTGTTGTTTCCTGCTTTGTTAATTTTTTTTTGCTGGAGGGGAGGTGGGGGAGGATGGGGTAACTGGGTGGTGGGCATGAAGAAGGGCACGTGATAAAATGAGCACTGGGTGTTGTACGCAACTGAGAATCACTGAACTCTACCTCTGAAACTAACAATACACTATATGTTAATTAATTGAACTTAAATTTAAACAAAAGAACCCCCCCCCCCAAAATTTTTTTTTTGCCATTCTAACTGGTGTAAGGTGGTATCTCAATGTGATTTTGATTTGAATTTCCCTGATGGCTAATGGTGTTGAATATTTTTTCATGTGTCTGTTTTTTCATATGTCTTCTTTGGAGAAGTGTCTGTTCATGTCTTCTGCCCATTTTTTGAGTTGATTATTTGTTTTTTGGGTGTTGAGTTTGAGAAGTTCTTTATAAATCTTGGATACCAGCCCTTTATCTGTTATGTCATTTGCAAATATCTTCTCCCATTCCATAGGCTTTTAGTTTTGTTGGCTGTTTCCTTTGCTGTGCAGAAGCTTTTTTGTCTTGATCAAGTCCCAAAAGTTCATTTTTGCTTTTGTTTCCCTTGCCTTTGAGATACGTGTACTTTTAACCTCCTTCATCTATTTCACCCATTTCCCTACTGACATTTTCTGTGGTAACCATCAGTTCCTCTATAGTTAAAAGTCTGGGGTTTTTTGTCTCTTTTTCCTTTGTTTGTTTTGTTTCTTAAATTATATACATATGAGTGAAATCATATGGTATTTGTCTTTCTCTGACTGATTTCACTCTCTAGATCCATCATGTTGTTGCAAAAGGTGGTATTCACTATTGTCACCATTATGTGACACTGCCTTGAGTTTAGTATTAAAGAAATTTAATTAGCTTATTGTAGAGTAAGTTTTGTTCCTTTTATAAAATGTCATTTATGGTCTAGGAACTAATAACCTTTTTACTTCCCACAGCACATGTAAGAAAATCTGTTTGGTTTATTTACCATGTAGCATTACAGGAGCTTTTCCTCTGGAACAGTGGTTTTCAGCAGGTTATCTTATCAGTAGCTTGAGGACTGGTCAGGTCTTCTTTAGCATTCTTGTAGCCCTGGCAAATGCCAGAAGTTCAGCCTAGTTACTATGAGAACCATACTACTTTTCATTTCCAAATGCCTTCTGAGGCAGAGTGCTACCCTGATTAAGAAGTACTATTTATAGATTAGTGATAGTAGAAAACTTGAAAAGGACATGCAGGTGACTGGTTAAGCCTTCTGTGCTGATGCATCAGATGTGGGCTGTCTAACAAAATAATCCTTCTACCCTATGAATTAGGAAACCCTTAGTAGTCTTTGAAGTACTAATTTTCCTTACATTGTACTTTGAGTTGTCAAAATTCATACCAAAAGAAAAGTAGTCAAGTATTTTCTAAGATGTTAAATGAATGCCCTTTGTTTTGTATTATTACATATAAAAAATAGAGCAAGAAAAAGGAAGTTGTTAATTTGGAAGTTATACAACTATTTCTGGTAGTTGGAGATCATAGACAATCACACTTAAAAACGAATGGATAAATCTACTTCCCCACACCCAAACTCACTTAGTAGCATTTGTGTACCAATTCTGGGCAAAGTAATAACAAATCATTTACAATCTATTCCTTCTTTGAACTTGCTGCCCTATTTGGCGAGGGTGGGGTGAGGGTGGGTGGGCAGTGAAGCAAGGTTAAGAAAACCACATGTGAATCTTAAAGGAATATCTTACTTCCCTTGCAATTAATAGCTTGAAATCATAAAACATTTCATTGAATCTAAGCAATTATTGATTGTAAAATGCACCATTATTTAAGCCTAAAAAAATGCTGCAAATTAAACTCTGACCCACCATCAGTTGTGAGATGCTTGCCACTTTCAGAGATGTTAAAATGTATAAAAATATGCATCTTAGAATCAGTGAGATACATTATCTAGAAAACTTTTCTCAGTTTTACTACTAGTATCATTCTCTTATTTTTAAAGTTTCTCTTGGGTGTTATATGCAACTAATGAATCATTGAATGCTACATCAGAAACTAATGATATACTATATGCTGGCTAATTGAACATAATAATAAATATAATAAATTTAAAAAATAAAAATAAAAAGTTTCTCTTGACATGATTTTATTTTTTTTCCATTCTTGGTTAGCTTTCTTGTAAACTGGATCGGGAATTCCGTTGTGTGGAACTAGCTGATTTAATGACTCAGAATGCTGTGAATTTAGCCATTAAATACGCTTCTCGTTCCCGGAGATTAATATTGGCCCAAAGACTTAGTGAACTGGCTGTGGAGAAGGCAGCTGAATTGGCAACAACCCAGGTAGAAGAAGAGGAAGAGGAGGATTTCAGAAAAGAGCTGAATGCTGGGTAAGAAATAATCAGCTGCTTAGATTTTTCTTTACCACTCTGAATATTAAATTGGTCTTTGCATAGCTCTTTATTGAATAATATATTGTCTTTTAGTTACAGTAATACTGCTACGGAGTGGAGCCAGCCAAGACTCAGAAACCAAGTTGAAGAAGATGCAGAGGACACCAGAGAAGCTGATGATAAAGAAGAAAAACCAGAATTACATAAGCATGGCAAGATACTTTTTTTTTTTAAAGATTTATTTATTTGAGAGAGAGCATGTGTGTGAGTGGGGGGAGGGGCAGAGGGAGAGAAGCAGACTGCCCACTGAGTGAAGAGCCAGACGGGTCTCAGTCTCACAACCCCGAATTTATGACCTGAGCTGAAATCAAGAGTTAGATGCTTAACTGACTGAGCCACCCAGGCATACCATAAGATACATTTTTAAGGCAATTTAAAGATGAGAAATGGGCACCTGAGTGGCTCAGTCGTTGGGCATCTGCCTTTGGCTCGGGTCATGGTCCCAGGGTCCTGGGATCGAGCCCCTCATCGGGCTCCCTGCTCCACAGGAAGCCTGCTTCTCCCTCTCCCACTCCTCCTGCTTGTGTTCCTTCTCTCGCTCTGTCTCTCCCTGTCAAATAAATAAAATATTTAAATAAATAAATAAATAAAGATGAGAAATGTTATATTTGTGGCTTTCCCCATTTTACTTAGCTGAGGAAAATTGAATACTTGTGCTTTGTCAAGACATCTTTGCTGATTGTTGATTATAGAGAATAACTTTATCTCCCCATTTACTTACATTGTATTATCTTAATTATTTTATAGGACAGAATCTGTTTTCCAAAAGTACAAATCCCTCTGATGTGCCAGCTGTTAAGTCAGGTAAGAAATATTTGTGATTTTGAAATATCAAAATTGTGCAAGTTAGTCTTTAAAGTGATATATCTATTCAAATACACCCCTTACCCCCACCCCCACCTCCATCCCTCTGCCCTTGGTTTGTTTTTATCAGAAATATTGTTTGTAAAACTGCTAATTTTACAAATATTTATTAAATGCCTATATAACAGTGTCCTGTAATCTAGTCAGTGGTAAGGGATTGGTTGGGACCCCAAGGGAGGCCTCCATTGAATGTTTAAAGCAGAGACCTGCAGGATGAGTAAGAGTCAGCTAGGCTAAGATGGGTGAGAGCAGAAGCAAGGGAATGGTGTGTGACTTAAGGAACAGCGTTTGTGAAGACTGTAAGAGTGGTGTGAAGAGCACAGAGGCAGAGAAAAGTGGTGCTGAGTGGTTTTGGAGGGATTGGCGGGAGCTAAATCATGCAGATCTATGTAGGCCACAGTAAGAATTTTGATCTTTATTCTGAGGTCGCTGGGAGGCTGTTGTAGGTTTCAAGCAGAGGCATAGCGTGCATACTGGCAGAGGAGGAATGCACATAAGGAGACTACTGAGGCAGTCCAAGTGACATTGAATATTGGTTGGACTTGGGTGGTGGTGACTAATGGGAGAAAGAATGAAAAAAAATGATGTGTTTCTGAAGAAAAATGTAGAGAATATGGAAGTTCAGAGTGTAAAGAATGACTCAGTTTCCTGGCTTGAATATTTGAATGAATGATGGTACCATTTACTGAGTTAGAAAACACTAGGGAAACTCAGGTTTAGGTAGGAGGATGATGAACTACTATTGGATATTTGGGTTAGGAACTCAGGAAAGTAGTCTGGGAGGAACATATATAAAGTGAAAATTATTGGCATAACCATAGCAATTTAAATCATGGGCATGGGTGAGGGAGCATTGGAGGAGGATATAAAGTGAGAAGAAAAGTGAGCTTAAGGGCTAGAGAATCCCCAACATTTAAATATTAGGTGGAGAGGAATCATCAAAAGAGAATGAGATTAAGAGAGGAAGCAGATAGGAATGCGGAATCTCGGAAGTCAAGGGGAGGAGACAATATCAGGAAGAAAGGAACACTCAGCTCTGTAGAATGCTGTTGAGGGGGTCAAATAAGATGATGACTGAAAACTACCCACCAGATTTGGCCACATGGAGTTTATTGTGTCCTTAGCAAGAGCAGATTCTATAGGGTAGTAGGGCTGGCAGCCATATTATTTGGATGTTGGAATGTATGAACAGTGAGGAACTGGGAATAGCTGTGTAGACAGCTCTTGAATTTGGCTTTATAGGGGAGGGAATTAAAAATGGTGGCTGGAGGGGATGTGGGGTTGAGAGGGTTTGTTTTTGTTTGTTGAAGTTGGGAAACTTGAGTAGCCAATAAAGAGGGAAAAGATGGTATACATCCAAAGATGGTGTAGCCATTGATAGGACAAGTTTCTTGACAAAGCAGGAGGGGATGGAATCTAGAGCACAAGTAGAGAAATTATTAACCTTAGCTAAAACAAGGCACCATTCTTCCATGGTAATAGGAGAAAAGGATAGATCTATATATATTGGGTTGGTATATTTCATAGTGAAAGTTGGGATAGTTCCCATTTAAAGCTTTTATTTTGGCTTGGAAATAGGTAGGGGGTCATTATATGGTTGTTAATAATTTTAAAGTTGCAAAGTACATTTGTTTTTGTATAATACAGATTAAAATATTCCATCTGTTATTACAGAAGTCAGAAGTCTTCTATGTTTTACCACTATTAAGTGACGGTTTCTTTCTTATGAAAGGTGCAGTTACCTCTAGCAACCAAGGACGAGTAAACCCCTTCAAGGTAAACTCTTTCCAGTGATATTTAAAATGTGTTTCAATACATTTTTATACAGAGAAATATTTCCAAACCACCAGATGACACTCCCCAGACTTGGAGGCATTGAAGACTGAAGCAGATCTTTATGAAAACAGATGAAAGCAGCACTAGTTCACACTTGGGCTAAGAGTTATATGTTCTACTTATCTTCTAAATACCAATGGTTTTGAAAGATATTCCCTCTTTTCCATGGGGATGTGGTATATTTAATATGTGTATCAGTCTAATTTGTATTGTACAAAGTGTATTCAATTCCAAATGTGAGACCATGGTATAGACCTAATAGATATTTTAAGGAAAAATGAATCTCTTGGGATTTTTTTTTTTCTTCTTTAAACATAAAAATGCTAATAGTAGTTTGCTCTTTAGGTATCAGCCAATTCCAAAGAGCCAGCCACTTCAGTGAATTCACCACGTTCAAGTAATATTTTAGACAGTATGAACAAATCATCCAAGAAATCTACTGCACTTAATCGAGCTACAAATAATGAAAAGTCTCCAGTTATAAAGCCTCTAGTTCCAAAGCCAAAGTCTAAGCAGGTACTATTTCAACTACCCACATCAGCAATAAGCAGTACATGATCTGTTTGTTTTGTTCACTCTTTCAGGTATGAGACAGGAGGCTCCAGTTATTTATTATTGATTTTCTAGTGAGGGTAGTGGTTCTCATCTGATTTTGCTTCAGAATCACTTTTTGAAATATATATATATTTATACTCAGGGCCCAGGGACTCAGGCACCTGTCTGGTTTTTAAGAAAATTTCCCAGATGATTCTGATGCATATCTTTGTTTAATGATGATGCTGTAGTACCTAGCCCCAATCTTGTTCTGTATTCTGATTTTGCCTTCTAGTTTCATCCCAGATTTGGTATTTCATCCCAGATTTGTCATTAGTACAGTAGATCTTCTATCTTTTCCATTTCATATAATAAAATTCAGCATTTAGAAAATACGGAATTTGTAGTTTTTGGGGGTTTGTGTCTCTGGTCATGTTTATGTTCAGTTGAGAACCCCAGGGCTTCACGTGTTGGTATAAGAATTCTACATACATTTTTCCACATTTTTCAAAAGTTGATTGTAGTATATAAAATTGTACTACATTTTGTTGGAGTATTCATTATGTTTGTTTTTACAGGCATCTGCAGCATCCTATTTCCAGAAAAGAACTTCCCAAACTGATAAGACTGAGGATGTGAAAGAAGAACATCCTAAAAATACATCATCTGAAACACCAGCTATGTGTCCTCAAAACACTGAAAACCAAAGGTCAGTACACAGACAAATTTATTATTCATTTTTTTTAAGATTTTTATTTATTTATTATTTGACAGGGAGAGAGAGATAGTGAGAGAGGGAACACAAGCAGGGGCAGAGGGAGAGGGAGAACCAGGCTTCCCGCGGAGCAGGGAGCCCGATGCGGGGCTCGATCCCAGGACCCTGGGATCATGACCTGAGCCGAAGGCAGACGCTTAACGACTGAGCCACCCAGGTGTCCCCAAATTTATTATTCTTAAGATGTAATATCCCAATAAAAGGCATACAGAAACAGCAGTACAGAATTATTCAACTCTCTTGTTCATTATTACAAACAATACATTGACACTGGTAGTGGACATTCTGAACACATAATTTTAAGGAAAGGAAGCCATAAATATTGATTAATGTCTATTTATATTACTTACTAGGGTATGCCCTGATAAATTACATGTGTTTTAAATTGTACATATTTTGGGGCGCCTGGGTGGCTCCGTCAGTTAAGTGCCTACCTTCGGCTCAGGTCATGACCTCAGGGTCCTGGGATCGAGCCCCGCCTCGGGCTCCCTGCTCAGCGGAGAGCCTGCTTCTCGAGAACCTCTCCCTCCGCTGCTCCCCCTGCTCTCTCTGTCAAATAAATAAATAAATAAAATCTTTACAAAAAAATAAATTGTACATATTTTCTAATTCTTTTTTTGTTTATCTTAAAATAGATATAGTTACATGGGAGAAACAGTGAAAAGGTAGAAAAAAAATGTGTGATAAAGAGTAAATATCTCTGGGCGCCTGGGTGGCTCAGTTGGTTGAGCGACTGCCTTCGGCTCAGGTCATGATCCTGGAGTCCCTGGATCGAGTCCCGCATTGGGCTCCCTGCTCGGCAGGGAGTCTGCTTCTCCCTCTGACCCTCCCCCCTCTCATGTGCTCTCTCATTCTCTCTCAAATAAATAAATAAAATCTTTAAAAAAAAAAAAAAAAGTAAATATCTTTCCTGTCCACCCAGTTCCCCTCTTCACAATCACTACAACAAATTTCTTACATAGCCCTCCAGAATTATTTGTGCATGTTCACTTATATTTATCTTTTTTTTTATTTTTACAGAAATGGTAGCTTACACATTATTCTGTACCTTGCTTTTTTTCACTTAGCAGCTTTTGTAGAACATCTCATATTACTACATGAAGAGTTTCTTTAATCTTTTCACATCCACTGAATGGATATGGCATAATTTATTCAGTTCTCTACTGGTGGACAGAAGGTGGTTGCTGGGGTTTGCTAATACAGATAGTACCACAATGAATAACTTTATATGAATGTCATTTCTCACATATACATATAGCTATAAGATGGATTCCTGTATGGTTCAAGTTAATGTGCACTTGTAATTCCAATAGATATTGCCAAAATTTTCTCCATTGATGTTGTATCATTTTCTGTACCTCCTGCAATATGAGAGTTCCTGTTTGCCTGTATCCTATTTGTCTGCCAATGTAGTATGAGAGCTGTGAGAGCAAGGATGAGGGGATGGGTAAAGATCTTGAGAGAGATAAAAATTTCAAATAGCTGGTTTGGGAAATGGAAAAAGAACCCACCAAGGATACTTGGAAAAAGGCACAGAGGGGCTGAGTGGAATTGGAGACCTTGGGCGTGTCAGTATTCTAAAAAGAGCTGGAAGTGTAGAGTTCATGGTTGCTCCACTTGGAAAATACAAATGTAAGTAAAATCTTTGAATTGACCTTACAGGGTATTTTTCAGTTCATTTTTCCCATGGTCTCCTGGCAGTTTTAAGTAATGTGTAGTATGAATATTAACAAGTATAATTAATTGTGTCTCTCTTACTTTATATAGGTATGCAAAGACTAATTGTTAATTACTAACCTGAAAAATCATAAAGCACTTTAAACTGCATCTTAAGTATAAAATATTTTCACATAATTGCTATTTTAGGCCAAAGACTGGGTTCCAGATGTGGCTGGAAGAAAACAGAAGTAGTATTTTGTCTGACAATCCTGACTTTTCAGATGAAGCAGACATAATAAAAGAAGGAATGATTCGATTTCGAGTATTGTCAGCTGAAGAAAGGAAAGTAAGGATGATTTTGCTGAGATTGAGATCTTAGTAAATCCCAGGTTTTAAAAATTCTTACAGAAAATGCCTTTTTCTGTTTTTGGAAATTGCAGATATTCTGGTATAAACTCTTGGTGGAGAGGCAATTAAATAACTGAAATGTCAGCTTTGACCGTATGGATGTGTAATAATTATTATTTAGTGCTGATGGTTGAATTTTGGTCAGATTTACTGTTTATATCTGTATATAAGTTCCTATATAATGTAAGTTAGGAGGATACCCCAAGAAAAAGTACATTACTTCTAAATCAAAAGCAAATTAATAAGTAAAAATGAAATTAATTCACATGTTTGGACTTTAGGGTTCTTGTAAGCAGAAATTTTTAAAATGCTATGTACTTCCACATTGAATACAAAGTGAGAATACTGGGCTGCCTGGCAGGCTCAGTCAGTAGAGCATGTGACTCTTGATCTCAGGGTTGTGAGTTTAGGCCCCACTGTGGGTATAGAGCTTACTTTAAAACAAACAAACAGAAAAACCCAGAATGAGAATACTGCTTTTTGGGGGGAAAGGTGGTGTTCTGTTATAGCCTTTCATTTGGAAATTAGGACAGGTGGCTGGTACCTATTGCTCCTCATGTAATTTCTGCCATGTGAGGGAGGGCTAGGAGTACCTTTCTGGTGCAAGGGGAAGGAATGTCAATTAAATCTTCAGATTCACTTCCCCAGGGATGACAGTATGCAGCATGGGCACCTGGTGAAGTAGATACTTACCTTGATAAACTGGGTTTTAGGAATGAAGGTATTACAAAATGAGGAAGCTAGAAACTGGTTGAACCACCTCTATCCTCATTAGAATTTCCCTGCCAACTTTGTGCTTCTCATTTTTTATAAGAATGAATAAGAGGATAAAAATTCTAAAGACATAGATAAAATGGCATATGAATGGTCTTATGCAGTAGAAGAGGAAGAGACTTGGTAAAAGTTGTGATTGTGTTTTTGAATACTTAAAAATGTAATCAGTATTGTTAAGGTAAACCTTAAACATTTGCTTAAATCCAATCTGTTAATGTGAGAAATTCTGCAGCTCCAAAGGGTTCCTTTTCTTCAGTAACGAAATGGGAAAGGAAACAAAGTGGAAGAAGGAGGAACTATTACATATTAAAATAGATTTAAGAAACAGATGGAGAGGCACTTGGGTGGCTCAGTTGGTTAAGCATCCGACTCTTGATCTCTGCTCAGATCTTGATCTCAGGGTTGTGAGTTCAAGCCCCACATTGGGCCCCATGCTGGGTGTGGAGCCTACTTAAAAAATCAGTCAATAAGAGACAGATGGAAACGACTGAGCTTTGTAAGGTTCTTTGCTTAGTGAATAGAAGCCAGTCCTGAAAGAATATCTGAAATGTCATTCCTGAAATGACAAAGTGATAGGGATGAAAAACAGTACCGATTACCAGGAGTTGGGGCCTGGGTGAGAAGTGTAGGTTTTGGGGGCAACATGAGGGATACTTGTGATGGAACTGTTTTGTATCTTGAATGTAGAATCTACTTTGGAATTAACATACACACACACATAGGAGTAGAAATAAAAAGGAGGATTGTATTGATGTCAGTACCCTGGTTATGATATTACATTAGTTTTGCAAGATGCTACCATTAGGGAAAACTGGGAAACTGATACACGAGATCCTTCTGTATTATTTTCTACAACTGCATGTGAATAATCTCAAAAAGTTTCATTTTTAAGAAAGTACCTGCAGTTATAGTATTTTGCACTTAATATGGTTAAATACAAGCAGAGTTTAGGTTGAAATATTAGAGGTAGAATGTAAATTTTTTTTTTTTTTAAGATTGATTTTATTTATTTGACAGAGAGAGACACAGTGAGAGAGGGAACACAAGCAGGGGGAGTGGGAGAGGGAGAAGCAGGCTTCCCGCAGAGCAGGGAGCCCGATGCGGGGCTCGATCCCAGGACCCTGGGACCACGACCTGAGCCAAAGGCAGATGCTTAACGACTGAGCCACCCAGGTGCCCTAGAATGTAAATTTTTTAACATGCTCTGCAATTAAGTAATAAGAGATTTGTTAACTGAGGGCTGTTAATGATTAGCTTAAAAATTCAAGTGCTAATTATGCTGCATTTTTTTTTAAGATTTTTTTTTTTTATTTATCTGAGACAGAGAGAATGAGAGAGACAGAGAGCACATGAGAGGGGGGAGGGTCAGAGGGAGAAGCAGGCTCCCTGCCGAGCAGGGAGCCCGATGCGGGACTCGATCCAGGGACTCCAGGATCATGACCTGAGCCGAAGGCAGTCGCTTAACCAGCTGAGCCACCCAGGCGCCCTATGCTGCATTTTTTTTAAATACTGCTTTTTATAGATGGGTTTGTTACCTGGAAAAGTAAGGAAATCATTTCCTTCCTATTTCTTCGTTATTGCCTAAAACTCTTTTCTCCTCCCATATTTTGACGAAGGCATGGGCTTCCAAGGCCAAAGGAGGAACTACAAGTGATGGAGCTGAAGCAAAGAAGCGAAAACATGTGGTTGATGAAAGTCATGAAACTGAAAATGAGAAAGAAAAAGCAAAGGAGAATCTGAATTTGCCTAAAAAGCAAAAACCTTTAGATCTTTCTACCAATCAGAAACTGTCAGCTTTTGCATTTAAGCAGGAATAGAGTTAAAGAAAGTAGGAAAGTAGGTAGTGGATTTTTTACTCATCATTGATGAACCTGGACTTAAAAAAAAATCTTTAGAAAACTCATTATGTATTTTTAAAAGAGTTTAGTGACAACTATTTGTCTTTATGAGATAATGTAGTAATTATATTGGTGTAGGGAACAGGGCATGTGTAAAAACCATCATCTCTGCAGATTGCTCTGCCCGCAAATGGAGGTACATTCCAAAACATTGTGATTAGTCACTGACTTGAAGCTACTGGCATGTCCCAGTGGAAGCCAGTTTGATTTTGTTTCTTACCTTCAAAATCATCAAAGCCAAGGCCTTAAAACCTCTGAGCACTGAAGTACCTTCAAGGGGTTTCCTCATTTGGTTTATGTCATGTACTGAGAAGTACTATAGAAGTTGTCTTCCAGATTTGTTACCATAGACTCTTCTCTATGTCTGTACTGGACTAGGGACCATGTTTTTTTATATGGACCCTAAACATGTAAATAATTTTGTAGATGAGATTTTTTTCTTTTGTTTGTTTCAGAAATTTCTTCATATATGGCTTTCAGTTGTCTTTGTAGTGCGTGGTTTTTAAAAAATAAATGACTTTCACATTTCCACATTTAGCTTGCTGTGGTCTTAATATTGTATTTCCATGAAATGAAAATGTTTCTAGAAAATACAGTTTATATTTACTGCCATAATTTCCACCATTGCCCCCATCCTGCTACATATCATACACATGGAAAAGAAGATTGAAGATACTGTTTTGATAGTATTTCAGCCCAGGGCATAATGTGTTTCCTGGTAAGATACTCTGGTTATCATCATCAGCAGTACTTTCCTGAGCAAGTCTTTGACGCCTTGATAAGAGAGTAGTTAAAAGTTAGGGAAAGTCTTTAACTCCTCTTTAATTTTGAACAAACAAGATTTAATTATTTCATGCATTTTTGGTTATTATTCTAAGCAGAATTTAATACAAATGCAGCCACTTAATGAGAGCAGAGTACACAGGGGCGGGAATGGAGGGGGGTTGTAGTAAAATAAAATCAGATGGCTCAGACTTGAGGATGATTTTATATGTTGGAAGGAACATAATATGTTGAAAATTCAGATGTGTAGAAGCCAAAGATATTCTTTATCATTATGACTAAGGTTAGGAAGGAATACATTTCTAGTTTTTTAATTAGTAGCTGGTATAAAGAGACATTATAGCTCAGTGGTTAGGAGCACAGATTTCAAAGCCAAACAACCTGGGTCTTAAAGACTCACTGTAGTACCTACCAGCTGAATAAACCTTGGACAAGTTTCTAACCTTTGACCACTCATTGTAAAATGGGTATAGTAATAGTGCCTACTTTAGGGTTATGAGAATTAAATGAGATAAAAGCACCTAGTTCCTAGTACATAGTAATGTTTATATAAATGTCAGCTATTATTAGTTATACTATTGGCTATTTAATGTTTCTTCATCATTTGATTTCATTCTGAATACTGTATGAATTTTTATTTCAAGAACCTAAGGTAAAAGTTTATAATACTTTGGAAAACATGTTTGTAGACATGCATTTGTTTCTATTTCCTCAACTTTATTGTAAATAGGATATAATCCTTCAGTGTTATATTACAGTTCCATAGGAACCTGAGAATACTAAGGATTTGCAAAAAAAGTGTTTTTAATCCCTTTTATTTGGTTGAAGGAACATTTTTGTATTGACTTAGTTTAAATTATAAATCAGAACTTGGAAACCAAGATACATTATCTTTATTCCTTTGCCATGTAAGATTAAACCTTTAAAAATTTTTTTTCAGAGGGCTCCTGGGTGGCTCAGTCGGTTGAGCGACTGCCTTCGGCTCAGGTCATGATCCCAGAGTCCTGAGATCGAGTCCCACATCGGGCTCCCTGCTCTGCGGGGAGCCTGCTTCTCCCTCTTCCACTCCCCCTGCTTGTGTTCCCTCTCTCGCTGTGTCTCTCTCTGTCAAATAAATAAATAAAATCTTTAAAAAAAAATTTTTTTTTCAGAGAATTGGGACTTAAGGATGGGAAAATGGAAATGAACAAATATATTAACCACCATCATGATATCAATAATATTGCCTATCTTGAGCTTATTGTGTGCTGTAGAATATAGCCATTTGCTTAATTTCATTCTCTAGTAGTAAAAATTTCTCAAAGAGGAGGTTATTTTAATACTTGATATTCATCAAGAGATCATCATCTGATTATTCCAGAAAGCATGTGAGTGAGCACTTTGTTACGCCTGCCTACTCTGGGGGCTGTGGTAATCTACAGCCTATCATATCAGTGCAGCGCCTTGTGGTGAGCCACTGTCACTAACATGGAACAGATCCCCGTAGGCAAAAGGATGTGACCCATCCATGTAGAAAGTATCTTAATCAGTGACTGGTTGTCTTATGGGTCTTTTTTGTTTTCCATCTGCTTTATTATAGATGTATGTAATTTTTCCTCAGGTATTTATTTTGAAAATTTTCAAATCTACAGAAAATTTCAAGTAGTACATGTGAACATAATATATACCCTTTATCTACCTTGACTTACTCTTGACATTTTGCAATATATGCTTTATAAATAGGGTTTTTCCTAAGCCATTTGAAATATGCATCAAGACATTTCACCCCTCAGTGCCTCAACATGTGTCCCCTAAGAACAGACATTCTTCTACATAACCACAATATCATTATTATACCAAAGAAATTTAACAGAAGAATATTATTGCCTAAGATGCATTTCATATTAAAATTTCCCCCAAAGTATCCTTTAGCCTCTCTCCCCCAACCAATCTAGGATCAATCAAGAATCCTGCACTGAAAAAATTTTTTAAAAATCCTGCATTGCGTTTAATTAGAAGTACATACATTTTTTTAGTTCAAGTATAGTTGACATACAGGAGCAAGGAGCCCGATGTGGGACTCGATCCCAGGACCCTGAGATCATGACCTGAGCCAAAGGCAGACGCTTAACCATCTGAGCCACGCAGGGTCCCCAGAAGCACATACTTTTTAATATGGGAAGAATGAGGAAGACTATCACCCCCAATCCTAATATCCGGAGATAACTACTGTTAACATTTTGGAGTATGTCATTAGGCTCTCTTCTGTGCATGTGTTTTTCTTTCACATAGGTATGTTGTCCAAATTCATGTTCCCAAAAGGTGTGTAAAAAAACAAACAACTCAAGCCTAAAATTTAAAGTGTTGCCTTTTGCTGGTAGTGGTCCTGTTGTTGATACCAATTTCTACCTTCTCTGGAACTGTATCATAAAGGGCAAAAACTGATGAAAATAAACATAATGGAATCAGAAAGCCAAAAGTTGGTTCTTTGAAAGACAAATTAGGAAAATATCTGGCAAGATTAATCATAATAGAAAAAGGGTGATAAAGTTATGTTAGGAATGAAAAGGAATGTATTAACTACAAATGGTACAGATTTTTGAAAGAGGCCAATCATGATCAGTTTTATGTGTCAATTGCCTAGGCCACATTTGCCAGTTATTCAATGAAACACTAATCTATGTATTGCTATGAAGGTATTTTATAGATTATATTATAATCAGGTGACTTCAAGTAACTGAGATAATCCGAGATATTCTGGGTGGGCCTGATTCAATCAGTTGAAAGACTTTAAAGAGCAGAACTGAGGCTTTCCTGAGGGAGAAGAAATTACACAGGTAGACAGCAGTTTCAGTTCAAGCCAGATTTCCTGCCTGCCCTTCCTGGAGGTCTACGCTCTGGATCTAGGGTTTCAGACTTGCCTTCCAGTCTCCAAAATTGTGTGAATGAATTCCTTGCAATAAATCTTCTAATATATTTCTCCTACTGGTTCTGTTTCTCTGAACACTGACAAAGTCGGGGCTATTATAAATAACTTTATGACAATAAACTGGAAAATTTTGATGAAGTAAACAAGTACCTACAAAAGCAGAGCTTAGTAAAAGTGACTCAAGACATTGAAAGACTAAAATACTTAGGAATACATTTGACAGATAAGTGCAAAACTTATACTCTGACCTACAAAACATTGTTGAAAGACATAGAAGAAGACCTAAATAAATGCAAAGACACCCTGTATTTATGGACCAGAAGACTTAACATTGCATTATTAAAATGGCAATACTCCCCAAACTGAACTACAGATTCAATGCATTCCTTCTCAAAACCCCAGCTGGCTTTTTTTTTTTTTTTTTTTTTGCAAAAAATTACAAGCTCATCCTAAAATTCATATAGAAATTTAAGGAACCCAGAATAGCCAAAATAGTCTTGAAAAAGAAAATAACAAGTTGGAGGATTCACACTTCACAATTTCAAAACTTACTATGAGACTATAACAATCAAGACAATGTGGTCCTGGTGAGAGAATAGACCTATAGATCAACGGAATGGAATTGAGAGTCTAGAAATAAACTCGCAACATTTACAGTCAATTGATTTTTGACAAGGTTGGTGGGGCAATTCAATGGGAAAAGGATAGTCTTTTCCACAAATGGTGCCAGGGCAACTGGATACATGGAAACACATACATCCATTTTTTTCTTTTTTTAAAGATTTTATTTATTTATTTGAGAGAGAGAGAATGAGAGATAGCAAGAGAGGGAAGAGGGTCAGAGGGAGAAGCAGACCCCCCTACTGAGTGGGGAGCCCGATGCGGGACTCGATCCTGGGACTCCAGGATCATAACCTGAGCCGAAGGCAGTCGCTTAACCAAGTGAGCCACCCAGGCGCCCCACATACATCCATTTTTTTAAAAGAATTTATTTGTCAGAGAGAGAGCACGCATACAAGCATGGGGAGCGGCAGGTGGAGGGGGACCCTGCTGAGCAAGGAGCCTTGATGCAGGACTCGATCTCAGGACCCTGAGATGACCTGAGCTGAAAGCAGATGCTTAACCAACTGAGCCACCCAAGCATCCCCATACATTTTTACTTAAAAAAAATTAACTCCAAATGGATTAAGACCTAAATGTAAGCTAAAAACAAAATTTTTGGAAGAAAACAAGTGGGGGCGCCCTGCTCAGCAGGAAGCCTGCTTCTCCCTCTCCCACTCCCCCTGCTTGTGTTCCCTCTCTCGTCTCTCTCTGTCAAATAAATAAGAATCTTACAAAAAAAATGTAGAAAACAAGCATAAATCTTTGTGACCTTGGATTAAACAAGGGTTTCTTAGATGTAACGTCAGGAACACAACAAAGAGAAAAAAAATATGTGGGTGGGGGGATGGGTGAAATAGGTGATGGGGATTAAGGAGTGCACTTGTCATGATGAGCACCAGGTGATGTGTACGGAATTGTTGAATCACTATATTATATACCTGAAACTAGTATTACACTGTATGTTATTTAACTGGAATTAAAAGAAAAAATTAGATGAAGTCAACATCATCAAAATTTAAAATGTGCTTCAAAAACACCATCAAGAAAGTGAAAAAAAAAAAAAAAGCCATAGAATGGGAAATTTTTTTTGCAGATAATATATGCTAAGGGACTTGCATCTAGAATATATAAACAACTCTTAAAACTCAATAATTAAAGGACAACCCAATTTAAAAGTGGTCAAAGGACTTGAACAGACATTTCTCCGAAGACAATACGCAAATGGCCTATAAACACATG